TTTTTTTATCTTCCAATTATATTTTTATTTAACAATTTCTTATTACATAAAAATATTTTATAATTTATTAAAATAATTTTTAAAATTATAAATTAATTTTATAATATTCTTTATAAACTCTTTCAAACTTGAAGCGAAGTCTTTATATTCTTGAAAGCTTTAAAATTGTTGTATACATAAGTGCTCATTAGCTATTTAGATTGCAAAGAGAAAAGCGATGTTTATGTAATCATAAACACAGTTTTTTGTTTCTTCCCCTCATTTTTTTCTCTTCCAATTATGTTTTTATTTAAAAATATATATTATAAATTTAATCATAAAAATTATTAAAAATAAGTTAAAAAATTATAGATTAATGTTATAATTATTTTATAAACTCTTTCAAATACCTCTTGAAGCTAAGTCTCACAATCCTTAAAGCGTTAAATAGTTGTATACATAAGTGCACATTAGTTGTTTAAATAGCAAAAGAAAAAGTGATGTTCACGTAACCATAAATATTACACTGTAAAAAGTTACTACCCCTTTCATAGCTACTTAACCTTCTTTGTTTTTTTCGTCGTATTTTTTCACTTTTAATTATACTTTTTAACGTTTTTACACTAAAATATACATTATAAATTTAATCATAAACCTTATTAAAATAAGTTTTAAAAGGTTATAAATTAATTTTATATTCTTTTTATAAAATCTTTCAAACACTGAATGTAATTGTATATATAGTAGAAAATTGGAAAACACTAGCATTTCCATAACAGGTTAACTGTGGTTAACCTTCTTTGTTTATCGCGCCGTTTTCTTTCTATTCCTATTCAGGTCAACTTCAAATCCCTGATTTTTACTCTCTTTCCCCCATCATACGTTCTCTCTCTCTCTCTATCTATATTGTTTTGTATTTCTTTATTTGTACTTCTTGATGAAAAATTATGGTGTACTAGTTTTGCATTAAAACTGATGCCTTGATCCATCAGAAAGTAACCTTATTGGTGTGTTATTATATGTCTCAAAGTAATTGTTGTTATAAATATTTTAAAATTTAAATATTTAAAAGTGATTTTTTTCTATTGAGGTCTATTAAATATTTAATAATCATATATGATCATACTTCTGATTTAAATTTAAATTTTAACTTTATAAATATACCTATCTCTAACATAGATTAATATTAAATTTAGTCTCGCTAGTTCTCATAAAGAGTTTCTTTTTAGAAGGGTCTTATACAAATATAAAGAGATCGAAATCAATTATTTATAAAAATATAAAGATTAAAATTATATTTGTTTTTATACACAAAATTTTGTAATACTTTAACTTAAGTACATTTTATAATTATTCTTCAATAAACATGCATTAAAGTTTAGTTTGATAATTCTCACAATAAAATTGACATTAACATATATATTGATAGATAGATATTAATCTTTTATTTTTATTTTAAAAAAATTATGCTTTTATATTAAATATTTTATTAAAAATCTTGATTGATATCATTTTATATATAAGGATAGTTCATTTTACATGATATTATAAACATAATTTATAAGTCATTAACACGTTATTTTTAAGAGAAACGACACAATTATTAGAGTACTGTTGCTTAGCTTAGTCATGATAACGTTGTATTTTTAAATTTGTAATTTTTATATACGAGTCTATATTTTTGTTTAAGCATCTTTTAGAACACTTAAAAAAAAAACTTGCCAGCTAAAGAAGAGAATAGATAAAGATTCATCCTAACTTAAGGAGAGAGTAACTAATCCTACCCAATCATCTAAGTTTTTATACCTCACATTTTAATTTATGATTTTTTTAAATTTTTTTCTTTAATTTTAACACATTGCTTGTTGTATCTATCAATTTTTCTATTTTCCTCTCCTATATCTCTCTCTAAGGTGTTTAAATCTTCTCGTATCTCTTTTCCATTTTCAAAAAACTATTTTTGAAAGGTAAAAAATAAACACCGCTCTTTTTATTCCACCCTTTTTTACTTTCATGTATCATATAGTAAAATATCAAATCAACTTTCATATATATAAAAAGAAACAAAGTAATGATGCTATCCTTTAGAACAACTCCAATTAATAGAAGTTCTTATCTTGCTTTTTTCATTTAACGCCGGTATCAACACTAATATGTACTGTTGGAGTGTTTCAATCTCTCGTCTCAATTAAGCTTTAAATCATTTTTGGTAAGACAAGGTATCTTATTTCCACAAATGAGTTCTTATTGTGGGATTCAGATTTTCTTCGTTTATAGTGGGAACTAGACATCCAGTTCTATTTTCGCTTAAACAAAAATAAAATTGCTTAAGTAAAAATATAGAAAATAATAAATTTTTATATATGCAAAATTAGCTTAAGCAAATTTTTTTGTTATAAGTAAATTTTTACAGATTCACTTAAACAAATTATTTTAGCTTAAACGAATGTTGTGCCTTTGAAGATATAAAGGCTGAGTGTGAGAAGAAAGAACAGACTAAGGATAGATAGAGATAAGGAGAGTAGATAGTATAGTAATGATGGTAGAGAATTGGGTATAAAAGAAAGAGAGATAGATAGATATGGAGTAGGGTACGAGTGAGAAGAACAAGAAAGGAGTTAAACATAGTGTGGAGGGAAGAAGGAGTTGTGAGAGGAAGAAATGAGTTGGACATAAAAGAAAAAATAAGATTGATTATGGAAGTTAGAGAGGGTTGAATATATAGGTTGAGTAGAAAGTGTTAAGCATGAGAAGAAGGAGAAGAGAAGATTGAAAGAAAAGACAAAAAATTTGCTTAGACTAATTTTGTATAAAAATAATTTATGATTTTCTATATTTTTGTTTAAGCGAGTCTATTTTTGCTTTAAAAAAAATAAAACTAAATGTTCACCGATTTTTACTACAACTGAAAAGAGTGGATCCCCATGTTGTGTAGTTGTCTAGGAACTATATTTCCGTGAAAGGGATCGTTGTATGCTAGTTTTAGGAACTGTTTCCCGTGGCTCGATTCTGTATTCCAAGATATTGAATGGCAATGGATTTTGGTGATAGATGGGAAAGGTGATAATTCCTTTAACGTGATGATTTAATTTGGTGAAAGTATATTACATTTTTAATAAATTGTATATTTTTCTATATTTGTATTGCCTCAAAAATAAAATAGAAACAATTTAATAATTTTAAGTTAAAACAAAAATAAGTGCTGATAAAATATAAAAATGTGGAATAGCTTCTGGCGGTTATTTGATGAACTTTATAACGGTGCACCACTGAAAAAAATTACTTAACTTATAAAAAAATTAAAGAAAATGGTGCGTCATAAATATAAAAATCATGGTTGGTGGAATTTGGAAATGATCATCCTAATAAGTGTAATATAAGGAAACGCTAAACAATGTGAAGTGAACTAAGTAACTTTTTGTTTTATGAATAAACTTTTATTCTAGTTCATGAAATTGCAAGTTTCATATATTTATAAATTTTTTATTTGGTCTTTAATTTTTTGAAATATCATTTAGCTTGGTTTTTTTTTTAATGCAAAGCAAAAATAAAAAAGGCAAATAATTTTTTATACAAGGTTAAAGCAACTTTAGTGTAGGTTGTTCAAAAATAAGTAGTATTTACATTTACAAGGTTAAAATCGTTAATGCTAAAGAAAGACAATGTTGCATTAAATAAAGGTCCATATAAATAAGGTGAGAAAATATTATATAAATATTTCCCCGTTGTAATATTAAAGATACTTTTAGTGACTAGAATAGAGATTAACTCTTTCATAAAACATTTTAGCTACCATTCTCAGTTTCAATATATACACATATGTAATAAATTATGAAATTAATAAAATTATAAATATTTAGTGCTTCATTCATGTAAAACCTTTCAAGCATATAATTAATATGTCTAGTCTCCATGATTGTAAGCTGTCACTGAACTATAAACATCGTACTATTAACTCTTCCACCCAACGAGTGATAATTAAACTTCAGTCCTTAGAACCATTGTCAGAAATCGGACAGGGATTGTAGAATTTGTACTACTTGTGGTGACACTTTTAAGAAAAGCAATTCTGGCAATCATGGAATGGCAAGTACAGCTGAACTTTAGAGCTACATAATTTATTATCTGCAAAAGCTTCGTAACGTTGTATTTTTTTATATATATTTATCTGAAGTCTGTAGATTATAATATGATTGAGTAATTATTGATGTATTTAAGCTCCCCTTGTTTATCTTCAATCTTAATCCATCAATTTTCTCAAGTCTCAACAACATACTTGAAAGCTTGGGAGCTTTCAAGGTCATGATCATGAATATAACAAAACTAAACTTCCTATGGATCATTCTCTTGCAAGAGGACTGGTTGAAGGTGAGTAAAAGTTCAATTTTGTCCCTGAATTTTTTATTTTCAAGTGATGAAATTCTTTTCCGTAGTTATAATTCCCACATTTAATTTGAAGATCAAGAAACTATACTACATAGTAGAACTGGCGAGATAAGTTGATTTGATTAAATCCACAAAAAATATATAATCTGTATTTGAATTTTAAGAATTATTAAGTATTTTAAGTTTGGTCCAGTCAGATTTTTTTATTGAATTTGGGCTGACATAATTTATTTTAGTGTAAAATAAAAGTTTGGGTTAGACTTAAATTCTCATATGACCCTTAAATAAAATACATTTTTTTTACCCAACCCGTTAAAATTAAAATTTTAAAATGTGACAATCCAAATTACATTAAATAGATTTGATAATAATATTTTTTATTTTTTATTTTTAATCAAAGATATTTAACCCATTAAAAGTTAACACTAAATATTTTTTGGATAAATTAGATATTGGGTATTTGGCTGCTATACGGTGATATGCTGAAATTGGTTTGCTTAGGAGGGACTTAATTGTAATTTAAGAAGCATAGGGGGTAACCCTTACCTGTTGGTGGAAGATTCCTGCTCCGCTGTAATAAGTTTCTGTGTATACCGTAAAATTAGCCCACACACACTTCTTTCTTCCTTTCCTTAACCTTTGTGATTTTTTGTCCTCGTCACTTTTTTTCTCCGTTTCAGGTCAACTTCAAATCCCTAATCTCTCTCTCTCTCTCTCTCTCTCTCTCTCTCTCAATTACAACTACTTTTCCCTCCAATTTCGCTTCACCACGCAAGCACGGATTCGTTGATTTTGATGTTTTCTCGCGTTTACGGATTCTGATCATAGGGTTCCTCATCCCCAGACCTCATTCTCGCGTGTCTTTGTTTGGTTTCAATGATCTCACTTCTGCAGCTATTATTATTATTTAATTTTTTATGGTTTGTTTGTGTTGTTTTCGTTAGAGATTTAGGAATCTTTTCTTACGCTATGTTTTGCGTTTCTCGTCGTGAGTAGGGTTCCGGTTTTTTTTTTTTTTTTATGGCAAATTATGGTTCTGTTGTGTGTGCTTTTCTACGCGGGCAAGGTTTTTTGAGAATTTGACCTGTTTTTTGTTTTGGTGGTTTTGCACTGAAACTGAAGTAGGGAACCATTACTAATCAATTTTCGTGTAATGTGTGTCCAGATAGTTGTTAACTGTATATATTTTGGGAACTTTTGATATGTCAAGTGGATCCGTGAGGCGGGTTACCCGTGAAGATATTCAGCTGGTAAGCTGGGATCTCTCTCTCTCTCTCTCTGTGTGTGTGTGTGTGTTTTGGATTCTGAGGATGAAATGGTGTTTGCATAAATGAGTTGTTGTCTAGACCAAACTTGTTTTGCGATTATAAATGCTTGATGCACTCTGTGTGCATGTGAATATGTGAAGAATTTTCTGTACATATGCCTTAATTGTTGCTTTAGAATGTAAATTTTTGTCGACTTCAGTAACGAATAGAATAATTATCTATTTCCTGTTACATTCATTTTTAAATTTGTTTCCATTATTTAAAACTATTGGGGTATATTAGTTTAGGATTTTGGAAATTATCATATTTGCGTGGATTAGAATTTACTCTGGCTAGGCTATTAATTATTAGCTTGGATATTTGGGTTATTGAATTTTAAGTAATTTGGATTTTTTTATTGAGCAGGATTTTTAGTATTATTCATTAGTTAGGATTACCTGGCTGTCCAGTTGGGTAATTATGAAGACTTGTTTAGTTTGCTTAATGGTGACAGAATTACTATGTACCTTGATTTCTCAGCATATCATTTCAAATTGAAGTCATCACTTTTGAGTTGTTATGTTTTCCCTCTCTTCAAATCTCCTCCATCCCATCTTCCGGATCTCTCCACTATTCTCGATACTGTTCACTTCGTCAGAGGTTGCTAATCATTGTGTTTATTTTGTTTGCTTGTCTCACTACAGGTGCAAAATCTCATAGAACGATGTCTACAACTGTATATGAGCCAGAAAGAAGTTGTAGAAACACTACTAGCTCAAGCAAAAATAGAGCCTGGTTTCACTGAACTAGGTAAAGAAAGCTTTTTTTCCTTTGCCTTTTTTTGTATTTTACTCCATCTTCACTTGGTTGGTCACTGTTGATGTGTTCTACATCGAAGAGTGGCGGATCCCAAAAATGATATAGCCTTGAACCATTGTAATCAGTATCACGATTCATGCGATTTGATATGATACGAAGCAGCAGTGATACAAATCATGCTGTGTATCATTTTTGTTCCTGAATCGCACCACGAATCACAGTTCTCTGACTGAATTGTGAGATTCTGTCCAAACTGTGTGCTGTTTCCTAGCTTCTGTTACAGCACACTATTTTATTGCTTCCTTTACTCTGTCTTCCACTATTGGTGGAGTTCAATGGTGCCTTGCTACTCCAAAATGCTAATGTATCGATTTTTTTGTATTTTTTTTTATGTTGAAACGCTCATAATAAATTTGTTCTTTAGTTATTGATTTATTGAGCATGAATTTATGCTTTTATATGACTTTGTTAGCCATATATGTTATTTATAATTATTGATCATGAATCATACTATTCACAGTACAGTTTGATTTGCAATTCAGAAAATAAGCCTTCCGATGCACAATTTGAAACCCAATTTGATAGCCTTGTCTTGAAAAACTAGCAATGAGACTTTCTCTTAAAATATAATTCATCCCTGCCATTGCAACAAAAGTCTTAATAACAACATAAATAGAATGGCAATACTGAACAAACAATCTAGAACAACAGTGAAATGGGCCCTAACAAAAACATGGCCCCCTAATAGAAGTTCCAAAACGTGGTACAGGGGAAATGTTAATGGCCCATGCAACTCTGGTTCTAACAATTAAAGCCACCTTCAAACTGGGATAAACTTTAACACTTTCTCTGTAATGTTCTTTTTCCCCCCTACAGCTGGCCATCTCTCAATTAATTGTTTTCAACCTAGTGTAGCTCTGTCACTGGGAGTTATATTGGTTATCTTCATTCTATAGTGACAGAAAGTAGAAATCAGCTGGTTTGTTTTATCTTGTTAATTAGATCAATGGGCTGAAAAAAGCATGCCTGTATAAGACACCCCTAAATTTCTAATTCTCAGACTATCTGATAATTTTTCAAATCATGTTCACTTATTTATAGCACTTCTATGATTGTATTTGACATGGTTTACTAGCTCATTTATTCTTGCAGGAATTAATTTGCAATAACTATGGTTTAGTATTTGAACTTCACTTATAAGGAAGATAATTAACTTTTTAATAAAATAGCTGAAACATGGAAGCTTTATTATATATAACTTCATGTGATGGCTTGTTTGCTGCTGCTGCTGCAATTAGTAGTTTCATTACACCCTTCCAGCATTTATTCAGCATAGTGCTTTTTTCATTTTTGTTCTTCTAAAAGCCATGGTAGTTTTGATACTTAACATAGCGCTGGAAATGGGGATAGGTCATGTGAGTAAGTTTTGGTAACCATTAGTCTCTGTTGAAATTGCTATTTAGTACATCTGATTGGGCATTGGTATCAAAAGCCAACCGGCACATTGCACTCATCATTTAGTGTTGTAGATTATAAGTTTCCTTTCTTTTTTTTTTCCCTCATTTTTTTCAGTTTGGCAAAAGCTTGAAGAAGAAAATGAAGAGTTCTTCAAGGCTTATTATGCAAGATTGGTTTTGAAGCAGCAAATATTGCAATTCAACAAATTGCTGGACCAACAAGTGCAATTAATGCGGTTACACTCAAGTGCAGTTGCATCACTTCCTGCCTCTAACGGGTCACATATCCCTGCAGTTTCATCACTACCTAACTCTAATGGGTCACATATCCCTGCAAGTAAGTCTATTAGCTCCATGAATGTTATTACCATCTCTTTTGACTATAGATTGTTTCTGATGTTGAAGTGTTTTTTTTTTTTACTTTCCATGGTGACTTCATGGGCTCATTAGGTCTCCTTCTTACACTCAGTTGCCCCCCCCCCCCCCCGCAAACACCCAACCTCAATTTATACTATTTGTACTATAATATGCTTTAAAGTCAGTTCTCTATTCAAATATATTCTAGTTTTCCTTGTCTTAAACTCTGCATTTCCATTTTGAGAAGTTCATTTAATGATAACAATTTTTGTTTCTAGATATTAAGAATATAGAAAATTATGAAAGAAAGTTAATTAAGGAAATTTTTACCTGATGTAGAACTGACTAAGAAAGAACCACAAATTCTTGGTTTGTTGTTAGTTTTGGGTACCTTAGGGGAAAATTGTTTGTTGTAAGGGAATAACAGGAAGTGAGTTCCCTAGGATTTTGGGGTTTGGTTAAGGACTGAAGGTGGATGGTGCATTCAAGTGCTGAGACTTGTTAATGATTTTGATTGGCTGGGAGGTGGCTTGATGATGATATTAATTGGCTGGGGATTGTGGTTTTTAGAGGCTAAGAGTAGGTGTTGAGGTCAAAGAAAACAAGGGCCATGTAGGGAGGTCTGTATGGGTTTGATGGTGAGGTGTGTGGTGTGTAGGAGTTAGAGAGTGGGTTCACTATCAGTCATTAAAGAGCTTAGAAGCTGTAGTTCAAAGAGAGAAGTTAACATGACAGATGAAGGTGCGTTCTAGGACTCTATTTGAGAGATTCTTAACAGAAGGACCTCTTAATGTCATTTGTATGTTTTAGGAACTAAATTCATGTCAACCTTTTTGTAGGGACCAAACTAATGTCAACCTTATTTTAGGAACCAGAATGGTACTAAATTTCTGTATTATTATTTCTTTATATACGATAAGGAAAGAACAATAGATTTATGTGGTGGATATGTATTATTTTATTATGAGAACATTTTTTGAGGTTGATAATTATTGAGACAGAAAGATTTGCTGAGGATCTTAATTACTATAATAGACATTGTCATTTAAGTAGATTTGCATACATATTTTTTTTGGGGGTCTAATAAAAGTTACTAGAGTAATAACATATGCATGAAAATGTTTAGGTTAACATATTCCATTCACAAATTAATAAAAATAATGCAATAATCTCTAGATATGTATTTAACCCAAATCAACATGATTTTCCATTTGGGATCATTCTTCCCCAAGCAGTATTAAAAATAAAGTTGAGTCCTTCACTGGCTAGATAGCAACCATAAGGAGTATTTGAAGATCAAACATATTGTCACTGCCTGAACTTAGGGTCTATGACCATTGGCTAGCTCAAGCCACACTGGCCTCCAAATTCATAGATATTCAAGAAACACCAAAGCCTCTAAACATAATTCCTTGTCATATATCTCAGACTTTGAATTTCATACATAAATAAGTCCAACAAGTGAACTCTTGATAATAAGCCATAACTAATGATAAGCCCTAACATTTCTTGTCTAAAATCCTGCTTGTAGAAATAATGGAGTAATTCTAAGAATTTTAGCCCATAAAAACGCACCTGAACTAGGTCTGTAATAAATAAGACAAAAATTCAAAATTCTTAATACTCTTGCATGTGTATTTCATAATAACTTCTCTGTTTATCCAAGTAAAAAAAAACCAAATTTTCCCAAACAGACAAAGTGTATAGCTTGTCAAAACAGGTGAAGTGACAGAATATAATTTGATGTTAGATGAATAAAAACAAAGCATGTAAAATATGTGTGATTCCAAAAAAAAAAGTGATTGCTTTAGACATTTGATCAATGAAAATAATTGTCTGCCTTTTTAAACAAGAAAATGAATTTCCCGGAATATGAAAGAGACTATCATAAAATAATTTTGTGATTGTATCTGCTTATATTCTTTGTAACTTTAGACATTCTACATATTCAAGATACATATTTTCTGTTCCAGAGACATATAATAAAAGATGTAGTGATTGATAAAATAAACAGATGTAAGGGGTAAAGTAACTGCTTTATTATTCCTCACTTATAATTGAATGTTTGATTCCAATCATTTTTGTAATATGACATCAAATGTCATTTCATGTTACATACAGTACCTGAGAATCCAGCATGCTATACTGCAGAGCGAACCCAAGCAAGTTTGAAGCCAGAAAATATGCATCCTGTTGATTCCAGTTTATCTAACGTGTTTAATAATGGTGGGTCATCACTCCATTCTAGTATGCATGCTGCAGTTGATATGTCTGCTCATGGCAATAGGATTAATGGCCCTCCCAGCATGCTTTCTGCTCAAAGTGCAAACATGGGTCTGATACAAGGAATCAATGGGGGGATGATCAAATCAGAACCAGGATATTCTGGTTGTTCTCCTTACATGTTTGGTACTGATGGAAATGTCCTGGAGGCACGCCCAACTATTGGTGATGCTTCAGTTACATCTTTCCCTAATGTTGAAGCGAACTCACATTCTCTAAATGATGCAGTCCTAGATCCAGACACTTCTTCCTTTGGTTTTTTGGGGCAGATTCCCAGAAATTTTAGCCTTTCAGATCTGACTGCTGATTTTTCTCAGAGTTCTGGTATGTCCTCCCTCTTGTGTTTGTGTGGGTCCTTGTGTACATCTGCATGCCAGCATACACACGACTACTCGTCAGTGAAAGTGCATCTTTGCTGGTGGTGATGAGCAAAATGCATTCAAGCTTTTTTTTTCATGTTGATTTTTCAAAGCCTCAATCCATTTTCCATGCTATTACATACAAGTGTATCGTTTAGTAACAAAGCTTAGATTGGATAAATCATTGGCACTGAAAGTTTAGCTTCCTCTTTGACAGATATTCTGGAGAGCTATTCTAGGTCACCCTTCCTAGCTACAGATAACGAGAACTTCCTTGAAAGAGAACAGGGTAAGAAATATTCTCCCTCATGGCCTCACCCGTAATCTGTTGCTTTTGCGCAATGCTGATATCTTTGTTATCTTGGTTTTAAAATAGACAATAATAGGCTGGACTCCATATCAGAAGGCTTAAGTTATGAAGACTTTGGGAGTGAATAGTTATTACTCTTAGTCATCAACACTTTGAGGTGTGTTCTTTTCTTCTATTGTTAGGGATCAAATTATGAAGAAACTTTCATAAAATGAAAAATTTGCAATTAAATCAAATTTTATGATATTTTCTTTTTTATTAGATGCATACGTAGTGATAACATAAATAACCGTTTTAGCTATAGACCTGATAATTGTTTATTTTGCCTGCAGGTTGAACAAAATGCTTAAAATGTTGTACATAAAATTTAGAGTTTTCGAAATTTTAACTCTTGGATGAACATATGCATTGGGGTGTAGAAAATGCAGTCACTTCACTCTTAGTGATGGGAAGTGAAATTTGGAATGCTTGCATGGAAGGGAAAGACATGGTGCAAATAAATAATGATTTTTTTTCCTTCTGTATTGGGGCTTCTGTACTCTGTTTATCCTACATTGTGTTGCTAGAATTATACTGTTGTGTTTTGTTGATTTTCTTGGAATTAGACTGCATAAAATTGTTTAATAGTAAAGATAAAAACAGCATACTTGACTTGGTTGACTCTTTGGTAAAACTAGGTGAGTTTTTCTTATTATTATTAAAATTAATTAAAATATGATAGAGTATAAGTTTTTTTTTTTTAACAGTATCAATTAATCACGGATTGGCATACTTAAAATCATTAATATTATGATGATTGTTTTAGAAGTCATACTTGGGTTATTATTTAATTAGTACATAGCATAAAAATCTGTTATTATTATTATTTTTATCGAAGTTAAACTAGAAATCAAGGGATTGAATGAATGGGCGTCCATCTCAATCCTCTTTCAACTTGCAAATAGAAACACTTCTTACGATAATTTTACTTTTACATAATTTAAAAAAAAAAATTCTTACAGTTTAGGAGAGAAATAAAAAAAATAAACTATTGAATGAGATGGATAACGTGGTGTACATAGATGAAAAGAATAGTGAGTTATAAAAAATGTTGGTAAGAATATTTTATTGTAACTGTAATATTATTCTTTTTTCCACCAGTTCTGACAGTGTTTAAATTTGTGACTTGATAATTAAATTAGTTTTTATTTACTATTATATCATATTTTATGTTTTATATAATGTTTCGGTTATTATAAAGGGATTAATTTATACTTTTATAAGTTATATTAACTTTTACATCACCAATAACTTTATATAAAACATAAATTTATTAATTTAATTATTAAATATAATTATAAATTACTTTGTGTGTGTGTTTAAGGACTTACTTTAATAAACTTCTTAGTATAATTTATTAAAATAAGTTTCTTGTAGCTTATTCTAATAAACTCAATAATTAAATTTATAGCATAAGCTTTTATGTAAAAGTGTTTATTGAACAAGTATTTAATTTAACTATGTTAATCAAACTCTTAATCACTTTTATTTTGAAAGATTTTTAGTAAAAAATTTTAAAGGTATTACGCATAAGAAAACCTTCGAGGGACCAAAGTTGTTAAATTTTATTTATAAACTTAGTTGACTCAAAAAAAAACTACAGGGTCTCAGCAAAAAAAAAAACAAAAACTACAGGGTATTAAATTGCACACAATTTAAATTAGAGATTGATAGTGTAATTAAATTTAAAATTATTTTATAAAAATATTATATAATGTAAGAATTAGTATAATTTACACTAATACAAATTAATTCCTCCCTTTTATCTATTATGTTATGTAATTAAATATATACGTATACGAGGTTTAATCCGTTGGATTACTGACTGATTGATTAAATGATTGAATCAATACTCCAATTGATTTGATGACTGAGTTTAATAATAGTGTCATGCAGTGTAATATTCAACATCTAATGGTTCACTTTTACTATATTGTCTAATTTTGTTGGCCAAATCATTCTCGTTTGGGTGGGCGGATAGATAATAAATGCAACCTTGGCATTGAAGCATGATGCGAGAGACAACGGTCCGGTTGTTTGAATAAAATCACGTCTCAGAAAAATAAAATAAAATAGTTGTAAAAAGCAAGAAGGCAAGAGACAAAACACTTCGAACAAATCAACTTGATAATATTTTTTAGTTAAATGAATTGTCAATTTTGGTCCTGTTCCTTTTACCCTCCATTCAAATTGGGAAGCTTTCTTTGCTGATCTTAGTCCAACCAAAAATAAATAAATACTAATAGCAACAAAATTAACAAATAAAAAGTACTACTCGACAAGTTATAATCATGTGAAAATCTAGGGGGAAAGTCCTCAAATTTAATAAGATACTTCAGTTCCAGAATTCTTGACATTCAACGATTCTCTATTTGGAAAAAAAAAAAAAGTATAGATAGCACCGCAATGAAGAGTGTATCTCATCCAGTTTAAACTGTCAATTGAATGCAACTTCATTGCCTACATTCGACATCTTATATGAGTATAATCAATTCACGAGCAAAATAATGGAGGAAAAAAGGTTAAAAACCAACATTATTGTTTCATTGTCAATTATTCTAAACATACACTCTATTGGTAACTTCATTGCCTACATTTGCCATGATTCATTTCATCGCACTGTTGTTTCTATTTTATGATTTGTAAAAGAGGCTATTATATACAATTGCACCACCTAGTGATAGAAACAATTGCTGAACAATATATTAGGTTCCCTTAAATAAGTTATTGTGCGCTTTTGAAGCTAGATCTAAATATAGTATAAATGTAAGCAAAACAAATCTATGGATCCTGGAAGTATAATGATAATTCATGAATTAATTAACAACTTGGACAACATAATCAAAGTGACTGATACATATTAGAGATTGTTCACGGCAGTTAAATATTCATTCAAAGGGTAATACTAATAATAATAAAATCACAAGAAATGCAAGCCAAACATAATCCAGTTCCTTAAGTAGCAAATGCAAGGCACTGAAAATGTTATCTTCATTTCCAAGTCTTTCATCCTTTAGCTTTAAAATTCAGAAGAGCTTTATCATTTAAGGGGTGTATTTATTTTGTTCGCAAATTCAAGTTTTATTAACTAAGAAAATCACTTACACCGACCCAAAAATCATTCCTCGCACAGATAAATGCAATATGGATAAATCATAAATGATGCCAACATAATGATTGATATTCTTTTCCATTGTTGGAAAATAATCCTTCATTGATCCCACAAATAGAGAATGGGCCCAAGCTATTTAATGAGCCAACCTAAAATATCACCCTAATAATAGAGAGTAAGAAAAGGGTCATCCTATACCTCACGCTTTCACCAAAAAAAAAAAACTGTACCTTATACAATATGAAGGCAAAGTTGACGATATATGTAACAAAGTTCCAGCTCAATGACAAGGTTATATGGAGTCCAGCTAAAAACAATTTCATAACCAGTAAACAGTTATTGTGGCCCTATGGCGAGTACCAAGAAGTTCAGGTGTAGCATTAAAATTTATAGAAGGAGATTTATATACCTGGAATTTTCTAAGTACTAACTAAATCAAAATAGTATCATAATTCCATGTATTTACATAATCTCACATATAATCAAAAGTAGCACCCTTAAAATTTCAATTTACTTACTCTGCTTTTCCTTAGAAATTGTGAGTTAACCTATTGACCAATTAGCCCCAAAGTTCATCATAATTTCCATTAATCTTTCTATGATAGCACGTGGTCTCACTTAATACAGCTGCCACACCATAATGTTCATCTCTTGATCTTATTGATCAAGAATTTGCAGAACATAACCGCTTGGGGGAAAATATAGGGTAACCCCCCCAGCACACACACACAGACACACACACACACAAATAAAGAAACAACTGTAAGGCTTTCATATCCAGTGTTTCTTTAGCTAAAGAATCATCTCCAACCAAATCATCACGTCAATGGCAACCATGGACGAATCTTATTCTAATCAAACAAATGGATTGTGTTAAATTCAAATTCATCAATTATCCCTAAAAAAATATTCTAGAGAGCAACCAACAAGCTACAAAAAGACAACCTTAAACAAGCAACCTGGCAATTCCTCAATTTAAGGAAATCCAATTCGAATCTCACATAACAAACACATCCTCCTATAACCTACAAATACACAATCGAGGACCATCCACTCACTCTACCTCAAAACTAAAAAAGAAAAGAGAAAATATTTTGATATACACCCAGTACATGAAAACAAGTATAGTTTAAAGGGTAGTGATAAATTACAGAATTTGAGGCATATTTGAAGAAGGAGGCAGAATTGGATCAACCAACATGGAAGGGGCCAATATCGCCAGAACGAAGAGAAGTGGCAAATTCATCAGCAACGGTTAAACAGGAAGTAATCCAACCACTAAGAGCAATCCACGTCATCTTTGCGATCCACAGTGCAGAGTCGAAAGCCATTGCCATGTGGTGCTTTCAAGTTTCAAGGGATTGAAGAACCCATTCAACAACTGCAACTTCTTCGAAGCTGTCACAATACTTATTATTTATCTTCAACTCAACAACCTTCCAAACAGTAACTGCTCAATTCCCCTGCCAAAATCTACTCTCTCACCCACACCCTGATCTTTATTTTTATCCTCATTTTAAAAACCAGTCTCTTTAATTCATTTTATTTTTTTAAAAACATTTTTTATTTTATAATTTTAAGAGAAAATTCTTTTTTATTATATCATTAAAATCATTATTATTCCAAAACTTTTTCATTTTATATGTCTATTTATTTATTAGATAAACAAATTTTAAAATGAGTATAATAAATTTTTTTATAATAATTTTAATAAAACTAAGATAATTAAATGTATTTTTTATTTTTATACTACAATTTTTTAAACTATTATTTTTTAAATACGAAGAGAGTATTATAATTTAAATTGAGATAGACTGAAATAAAATTATTATTTCAATATTATTATTATTATTATTATTATTAAAATTGAAGCATTTAATGAAATGTTCTTACTTTTTATATTTAAAATTTTTTACATGGCATGGAGGATAAAAAAAGTATAAATAAATATATAAATTTTTTAAAATTTAAATAAAAAAAATTAAAAAATAAACTTAGAGTATTTTGAAAGATTTATAAAAACTTTATTTTAATGTTTAAAAACTTCTAAACAAAATTTTTCAATTAAATAAGCTTTTTATTTTTTTCTCAAAAATTAACTAGAAAACGAAATTTTAAAAATATAAGTTTATAAAGATTTGGAAATATTTATAAAATATTATTTCGTATTTATAAATTTACAAATAAAAATTATTATTAAATAAATTTTCTTCTTTACTCTTTTTTTAAATTAATTATCAAACAAAACTTCAGTATTTTTTCGTATGTATGTTGTAAATGGACTTCTAAATTTTTTTTTTCTTCTCTAACGAAACTTAGTTTCCAAAAGAAAAATATACATAAGAATTTTTGCGAATTCCATTTCACCGTATAAACAATAAGCTACTGCTCACAAACTCACAAATGCCCAAATCCATCAACAAAAGATTAAATCTAATCTAAACTTAAAACTTTTTAGTATAAGCTTTACTCACTTTAAATAAAATAAATTACTAATGGAAGTAGGTTACACATAACAAAAATAAAATTGAATATTCATATACATTATTTTTATATTGAACAATAAATAACTGAAAAATAAAATACGTTTTTAATGCATTATATGTTACTTAAAAGAAATGTGATTCAGCCTGTTTGTATATGCAATGTAGTTATGTTACTTAAATAATAATGATAATTTTTTTTTATCTAAGTTATTCCATTAAATAAACAACTCTATCATACATAGATTAATAAAAATTAAAATATTATATTTAAAGTTATATTATTTTTTATTTAAATTTTTATAAATAAAATTCTATTAATGCGCGTAAAATAAAGTTATTTATTCCGTGTACTTAAGTTATTTTTACCAAATAAAAGTTCTTATATTCACAAAATAAAAGTAAGTATGATTAGCACCCTAAAAAAAAATAAAAGAATAAATAAACAACTGGTTTTTGTTAAATTAATTAGTAAGTTTCTGAATTAATTAAAAATTTTAAAATAATTCAAAATTTATTAATTCATTTAATCCAACAAATTAGCTTCCGTTTGGAAACTAAACAGAATCCACTTCTATATAAATAGAAAATAAACCACTGTTGTAGGAAGCATTTCATAAAATGTATTCAAAATTTTGTTACCATTAATTTCATTTTGGGATTTCATTTGTAGTTTTTGTATTCTCTACACAAAACATGCTCCTAATCTTTAAACTACCCAAGAAAATAAAAAATATTTCGTTTAACTTCACTATTTATCGAGAGAATCTTATTTCAGAGATTAAAATATAAATAATATATAAATTCAGATATTTAATTTTGTGCCAAAAAGACTTAATTATAAATTTTTAAAATATAAAAATTATTTAAAAATTGCAAATAATTTAAGACTAGAGATTAAGGGCTTGTTTGATTTAGTTTTAATTTTTAATTTTTAATTTTTAAAATTATATTTTAAAATAATTTTATAAAACTATTTTTTGAATAAAATAAAATAAAATTTGTTTGATAATTTAGTTTTTAAAAATGTTTTAATTAAAATTTTATTAGTTTTAGAAAGAAAAACAGAAAAATAAAACAAAAACATTAAAATAATAATTATGATTTTAATTTTAAAAACTGAAAATAAAAAATTAATTTTAAAAATAATCTTTAAAACCTACTTTAATAAACAAGTTTTAATTTTAAAAACTAAAAATAAAAAAAATTAAATTTTAAAATAATTTTTATAACCTATTCTGATAAACAAGTTTTTCTATTTTTTGTTTTTAAAATAAAAAAATTATATATAAAAAGAGAAAACAAACCCGAGTTAGTTTAACTCATTTGTTCTTTTCTTATCAAATAAAAAAAATTATAGAAATTTCCCCTACTCGCCGAAATGGGGACAAATGCAAAGGCAGCATTGCAGTGGAACAATCCATCAGCACACAAGCGCAGAAGACAACATAGTACAATTCCAAACACATAAATTTCAATAATGTTTTCTTCTTCAATCACTCTCAAGCCCTTTCTTCAATCCCTTGTCCTTGATCATTACTCTCAGGTTCTAAAACCCCTTTCCTTTAGTTTTTCCTTCTTTATTTGCTGTATATTCATATTGTGCTTTGTTTCTTGAGAGTGCAAAAACACACACTATTAACATATTTGGCCAAAAGGGGTGAAATGCAAAAACGAAAAAAATAAATAAAAATGCACTCTTGTGGATATGAGAAGTTAGAACTTGAAACTCCATGATGTTGGGAGACTTGATTTCAGGACCCCTTGGTTAAATAGAAGTTAAATAGAAATTTTTTCACTCAATGATGATAACCCATTTCCATTTGTCTAATGCTCTTATTATTCTCTCCTTGGTGTGGTGTGTTTTAGAACACAACTGCTGCAAATAGGTGGGAGTGTTTAGGGTTTTACAATTCAGCAAATTTCCGGACCAAGAGACTGTTGTGTGCTAATGGGTTCAAGCTGAATTGTTTGGTTGATAGAGAGATGGATGTGGGTTCACCATCTTTGGTGGATGATGCTGCAAGGTGCTTAAGTGGTATGTGCTGTTTCCTGGACTGACACTAGATATATATGGTTTATGTTCTGTGTTTGAGTACTGACTCTATCTGTTTGCAGAAGAAGAGATAAGGGAACCTAGTATTTCGACAATGGTGATGAATTTTGAGGATAAGTTTGATCCTTATGGAGCAGTTAGTCTCCCACTTTACCAAACTGCTACTTTTAAGCAGGTGTGACTAAAGTCCCTATTTCTGGATTTGTTCATTTATATGACTTTGGTGTCTTGAGTCAGTGCATGAGTATTTTGTTTATTTAGGGTGCGTTTAGGTAAATAACTTGATTAAGCACTTATTCAATAAGCTCTTATTATACGAGGACTTATGGCATAAATATGATCGTAAACTTATTGGAATAAGTTGAAAAGAGATTATTTTAATAAGTTATACCAATAAGTTTATTGAAATATACTAAAAATAGTTTATGAATCATAAGCTGTTTTCATAAGTTCTTTCAAATGCTCCCTGAATATTTAATATCTCTGTTGTATATCTTTCTTTTAACTTCTCTATGTTTTATACTCTTCTTCATGCAGCCTTCTGCAGTAGAAAATGGTCCCTATGACTATACTAGAAGTGGAAATCCTACTCGAGATGCTTTAGAAAGGTTTGATTCAACCGGTTGGTTTGTGTTTTGTATTCATATTATGTTTCTTTGTCCATCCACTTTTAATTTGTGTTTTATGTTCTCAGCTTACTGGCAAAACTTGATAAAGCAGATAGAGCCCTGTGCTTCACCAGTGGAATGGCTGCTTTGACTGCTGTTGCTCATCTTGTTGGAACTGGTGCTTTTTCTCTTTTCAGTGTGATAAAATCTTATCTTTCTTCATTGTTAGTGATGTGAATATAGATTAAATTAGTTACTAAGTAGTTATGAGCTCTAAGGTTTTTTATTTAAATATCTATGGTTTAAATTATAATTTTACTATAAAAATATAAAACATGTGCACACTGTTGGCGCCATAGTGTGCCATTATTTTTTGGCTACTATGGAGAGTCAGTGTAGTTTCACTTTTCTTGCAATTTGCCCTTGATTGTTGCTGTGTTAAATTCATGACAAAACTAGAACAGAGAAAACTTATTGATGCACAGTAGAGTTGCAAGTAATGTATTCTGACAGGATAGCTTTGCTTTTTGAGAAAACATGATAGTTTCTTGTTATTTACTCCTGAGAGTGTGCATGTACTATAGGTGAGGAAATTGTTGCTGGAGATGATATTTATGGTGGCTCAGATAGGCTGCTGTCTCAAGTAGTTCCAAGGACTGGAGTTGTGGTGAAGTTAGTCTGATTTGTTAGCTGTTCTTATTTTATTTACTGTATAATCAGTAATTAATTATACAAACAGACCAGCAATATTGTTGATTCTGTGGAGCATAAGTCTATTAGTGATCATTCTTCAATTCTTGCTTGTACAGGCGGGTAAATACAAGTGATCTAAATGAGGTTGCATCAGCTATTGGACCCAGGACTAAGCTTGTGTGGCTTGAGAGTCCAACCAATCCTCGGCTACAAATATCTGATATTCAAGTAAGGTGTCGTATTTTGTAGTTCTGATTTTTGGAGTGTTAATGATCTTGAATTCTTTTATGTTTTTATGTGGTGGCTGTTGTTGTCCTTCTTTTCCTCCCTCAGTGTTGTTACACCTATAACTGAGAGGAAGTTTCTGTCATTGGTTTCTAAATTTGAAATGTCATGTGCAAGGGAGTACATGTGTCTGAGTATTCATGAAATGCTGTGGACTTCATGTCTTTCAATAATGGAGCTTTGACCCTGCTTCCCAACCCCCCACTTTCCCATTTGATATATCATTACTTCAGGGAACAAGATGATTTTTGCCTTGACATTTGAAGTGTTACAATTATGAATAATCACTAGATCTCTCCTTGACTTTAATTTCTATCGGGCTGTACATCTAATCATGACTCCCAGCAATACATATTTTTTCCAACAATTTTTTAATACCTAGATAAGAGGTTACTGCTGTGATGAAACTTTCAGACTTGCCAAGTTGCCAATATTATTTTTCATACGCTAATGAGGGAGATGCGTGTATGTTTTACTTGTTAATTAAAAATCAAGTTTTCTCACTTGATGATAATTTACAATCAGTTTAGATTATACACTAGTCCATAAATTTTTAGGAGTTTTCTTTCCTTAAGCACTGTTAGCTTCACTATTTTATTGTTGTACTGTCAGTCTGTCACTTGTTTATTATCAGGAGTAAGTTATTTGTATATATCTAATATATAAAACATATAGCGAATCCTCTTTTTATATTCTGTGGTATGAACTTCTGATATGAAATATTTTTCAATGGTTCTACTCTCAATAATATAAAATTTCTTTTTCTTTCCCTTTCTTAATCCATGCCCAGAAAATAGCAGAGATGGCTCATTCACATGATGCTCTTGTGTTAGTGGACAATAGCATAATGTCACCTGTGTTGTCTCAGCCATTGGAACTTGGAGCAGGTATAAGTATTGTAAGCTAATGAGTACAAATAGATTTAGTCACTTCTTTAAATCATGCTTGCTAACATGCAGTAAAAATTGAGGGTGGAATTTGAGAGGAGTGAAATATTGAAAACCATTGTGGCTGAGAGTGAGAAAAAAACAGTGATTCAGTTTACTTCATCATTGGTACTGGGTTTTGTGCCTGTATCTCTTAACAAAACATAAGAATAAAAAAATCACATATCCATTTTGATTGGCTGTTTAGTGATATATATTCACTGTAATGTTTACTCTGTTTTCATTTGAGTAAAAATATTGTACAGGGTATGATGAAATGCAAACTGCATTTTCCACTCTTTTTTTAATGTATAAAGAAATTTAGTAAGAACACCCCAGCATGCCAAGTTGTGCCCAATGGTTACACAGTTAGACTATTACTTTTTTGCCACAGATATTGTCATGCACTCAGCTACCAAATTCATTGCTGGACATAGTGATATTATGGCTGGTGTGCTTGCTGTGAAAAGTGAAAGGTAGTTTCTCTTTTAATGTTTCTCAGATTTTTAGATATTAAAGATATGAATTTGTTGTTGTCATTTGAACTTGTAAGTCTGTATTGATTTACAATAATTTCGTGATTTAGATTTCAATTGAAAAGCATATTTTTTTATAAAGATGTTATGAGTAAATGTTTGTCTTCTAATTTATTAAACAAATCAGTAAATTTTGACAAGGTCTTCTACGAGATGGACTGATGCATATTTGAATTGCTTGAGTGAATTGTTTTTTTTGTAAGATATGTAGTGAAGAATTCCATGAGCTTGGTTTTAAATCAAACGCTAGATGATGATTTGAACTTTTAATTATAAAAATTCTTTGCCGAAGGGAGAAGGAAGTAATCTCTTTGCTCTGTTAACTTCTACGTGTTTGAGCTCCTTCAAAATTATTACATAGTATTCTTGCCATTATTTTTTTCATTCCGATTTTGTCTTTTATTTGCTTCATTTAACCCAAAGTTGAGTTGTTAACAATTTTATTTCTTCCATAAACTACTTGCAATTTTACTTCTAATGAAGTTTTCATTTTTATATTTATTCTTTTAAATTATTGTCAATTGGTACTCACTATGCTCTTTGCATCCCCTACCGGATGTTTACCTTCTTTCATCAATCTTAAGGTTGGGAAAGGAACTGTATTTCTTGCAAAATGCAGAGGGTTCAGGCTTAGCTCCATTTGAGTGTTGGCTTTGTTTGCGTGGAATCAAGACAATGGCCCTGCGAATTGAAAAGCAACAGGTGCTACTTGAAACCTTCTTTAATCTCGAAGTGCTTCTGCTATTTAGCTAATAACATTGGAGTCATGTCTTGTTTGCCTCTCTGTTTTTTGACTATAGTTATAGGTTTTTTAATGATTAGTCTAGTGAAATGAATACAATTGGCTGAAATATCTTGTGCAAAAATACACATGGATCTTTTTCCTGAGTACCTTAAGTTCAATCTATTGTAGTTTATTTAATAAGTTGATCAGAATAGAATAGGGATAAAAAAAATTCAGAGATAATGACACGGTTTGGGGGTTATTTTAAGTATGGGCTTGACTATGGGAGCTAGGGTTTCAAATATTCAAAATTTAAATTTTAATAGTTTGGGATTTTATCCTATTTTTTTCAAAAAGGAAAATCCTTTTGCATTTTGTTGTTGCATATTTTTAGAAATTAGTTTTTGTCGAGGGATATGAATATCCCTCTTTTCACAACTCACAAGTCTTACTGCTTGAATATTAACAATACTGAATTTTCAGAATATGCTTGTGTTCTTGGTTATTTTGGTTCTACTTCATGTTATTCACATGTTCTCATTCCAGAATACCTTTCCATAATCTCTTCTTTGGTAGTATACTTCTTGTTTTGAAGCTGAAGAGCTCCTTTACCAATATTTCATATAGAAATCAAGCCTTCTATCATCATCCAGTATAGTTATATGCTGCGATGGTGTGATGAAGAGACAGGCATGCATGAACTAATCATAAGTTTGATTGGCAGTCTAATTTCTTTCATTGCTCTGTTAAATAATAATAGTTTCTCTGATTGTTCTCTTAGACTTCAAAACTTGAATTTCTAATGTCTTAAAATTATAAATCTAAGAGTTACATAAAACTTCTGGAGACCGGATATCAATTTTTAATGGTCTGATAATCTGATTTGTACAGAATGTGATTTCCATTTTTAGGTTCCAGTTCCAAACTTCCAATTGGCATGTCATTATCCATTTAAGATGACCATTTTCATTTTTTATGATTGTCAACTTTGTTAAAATCTAATGCAGGATAATGCACAGAAGATTGCTGAGTTCCTTGCTTCCCATCCTCAAGTTAAGCAAGTGAATTATGCTGGCTTGCCCAATCATCCTGGACGTGATTTACACTATTCTCAGGTATTACATAAATAGAAATTTAAGAGTATTGTTCCTATGGTGACGACTATTGATTATCGTATATTCATATGGTCTCTTTGCAGGCAAAGGGTGCAGGGTCTGTGCTTAGCTTCTTAACAGGTTCCCTCGCACTTTCAAAGCATATTGTTGAAACTACCAAATACTTCAGCATAACCGTTAGCTTTGGTAACAACTCTTCCATTAATTCTCTAATTAAGGAATTTTAAACTGGTAATAATAAAATAACATAATTATATTTGATAGGTTCTCCAGGATATTTGCTCTTATTTATCAATACAGATTGTATGAAGCTCAACAATTATCTAAATAGACCTTTTCATTCAATTTAATATATGTATGAACGCACTAGTCTTATCTCCTCTCTTATATTGGAAGAACCATGTGCTATGGTTAGTGATTGTAAAGAATGGTGTGCCAATGGAAAAGCCACGACCCTAAAATTGAAATGATAGAATTAGCATAGCTTAAATATTAATATAATGATAGAATTAGAATACATTATTAATCAAAACAAATATTGTTTGAATATTATTTGATTTACTGAATCTGATAAAAATCTCCAAGGCACAACTGTACAATTCTGTGTGCATTGATTGATTGAAGCTACATGAAATTAGTTTGAGAAATAACCGTATATATAAAATGAGATGACATTTTTATGTGGTGATTTTAATTTCCTGATACTAAAATTAATCAGAGCTAAAGAATTATTTAAAAAAAAAAGTAGAGGGAAAGGAGGTTCTAATATATATGTTCACATGATGTCCAAACATAATTGTAGATCAAAAGGTATACCCACCTTGTATTATAGGTTCTTGAACAATAAGTGTGTAAAATTTGGACTCTTGCACTTCAATTGTCCTTTGAAGAGGTTAACCGGTTCTTTTCTAATTTAGTTTTCTTGAACATTCTTTTACACACTCTTGATGTGTGTATGTCAGTAATTGTAAGGAGAGTTGACCCTGGTGACATTGTTATTTTTATTGTTGGCAGGGAGTGTGAAGTCTCTAATAAGCATGCCATGTTTTATGTCCCATGCAAGCATACCTGCGGCAGTTCGTGAGGACAGAGGATTAACTGAAGATCTTGTACGTATATCTGTGGGAATTGAGGATGTGAATGATCTCATCGCTGATCTAGACAATGCACTTAGAACTGGCCCTCTCTAAATTTATTTATTTATTCTAAATATTCAATCTTAAAGAAGTTGGATTGAACATTATTTTAGCATGTTATTGTTGAGGATTTGGGAGCTTTGTTATTCTATTTTTGGAGCCTTCTGTGTGGAAACTTTGTGTTTCTTAGATCATGTGCATGTAAAGATATCAACATTTCCAATAATTTTAATGTAGCAATTGCAATCTTCATCCGCAAGTATATTGGATTATATAAGCTTTGTCGCTTGGAGGAGAGTTTATTACCTATTGTAATCTTCTCTAGTTCGAAAAAGATTACTTTCAGGGGAGGATACATGTGGTTTGAATAAAAAAAATGATTTATATAAAGAATGAGAAAAGTAATGTCTCATGAACATTGATGTAGTACTAATTTGGTATTTTATTATTCTATTAGATTAATCTCTAAGTTAAGATTAAAAAAGTTGAGAAAAATTCTTATTTGCAATGTAAATAAATAAATAAAGTAAAAATAGCAAACACTTTCAAGATAATCAATAAATGAGAATGCTAAAATATTGATTTTACTTGGATTTTTTCTTGCGTTTTAAAAAATAAGATGATTTTAGTTCATTCTTAATTTATTGTGTAACTCTTTTAAGACATAATATGATGGATTTATGTTAATTTAATATTAATTTATTATAGAATGTTGAAACTGTATGTTTAATTATTATTAGTGTGATTCCTATCCTAATCTATTAAACAAATTCTTTTATTTATTTGAACACTAAATTTAACTTTGAAAATCAGTAAAGCTAAAAGAAACTGAACAATTTTAAAAAATAAATAAAATTGACATTAGTTCATATGCTAACAAGTGTGTTAGGAATGTTCGTTGCAAGAGTGTCTGAATTTAAAATGAAATGTTTAACAGCATTAAAAGCCAAAAAATATTATAGTTTAATTTAGACAAATTTCTCATTAAGTACAAAGACAAAAATAAGAAAGTAAAATGAATAAAATTTTACTTATAATTTAATATCAACTTATGTGTTTCTATTTTTTAGAAGTATACTTATTTAATTTTAAAAAAAATTAAAATATATGTTAATTTTAACAGAAAAATTTTATTTGTATTATCTTTTATTTTCTTGTCTTATAAGTAGTTATCTAAGATTTTACTTAATATGGCTTACGTATATTTAGTTTAACTTATTTCGGATTATAAAAAAAAAAAAAAAACTGTTTGTAAAATAAAATGAATAGTTTTGCGTAATTTGAGGAGGCCTGGGTGCATGACTTATTTTCATTTTTGGATAAAAAGGAAAGGCAAAATAGTCGTTTATCGTATATGGTACCTGAAAAATGGTTATGAAGTTAACGCCATATTCTGCTCAACTCAAAATGAAAAAGCAATGTTGGTCTGTCAGACAACCGAGTGACCATCCCAGGCAGATGAATTTGTCTGAGAACGATCCTCTGCAGCCCAAGATGAGCCTTTTCCTAAGAAAGGGTTTACCGAGCCAATAATCACGCTCTGATCAAACGGTCTTGATTCATCCACCAGACGTAGGTTCCTGTCTCCTCAGAACTCAAGGAAACAGAGGTACGAGCCTATAGAACAGATCCCGTTCAAGTAAGGTCGTGACCGCATGTTTCATTCTTAACAATATAAACCCTTGTCTTTATCTAAATCCATTCAATGTGGGACTATGTTCATGTCGGTGTCGGTGTCAGTGTCAGTGTCAGATTAGTAACGTAGTTGTGACTTTTGTTACAGGATGACGGTGTGATTATCATGGTGTATGTAAGAATTCTTAGGGGAATTTGAACTGCAAGATTTATTGTGTATAGAGTTCAGAACTTGAAACCTGTGGAACATGGACAAAATTTGAGTGGTAAATTAGGAAGACATTGTTGCTAGTATTGGTTACAGCATTGTGGGTTCACTACACAAATCCGAAAATGAATGGAAACAATAATTGTCTTTGATTGTTTGTGATCATTAAAAAAACCGAGCCCAACATGTTCCCAGCCATGATATCCAATTAGTAACTAATGTCTCAGTGCACATGAAAATAGTATATTCAATGAGGTAGTATAACTATAACTAATTCTAGCAAGAAGGTGAGTTACTAATCAAATTCGAAGAATTATGTTATTTAGACTTACAATGGCTGCAATCATGCCGCTTAATTCCATAATAGCTATCACTTTTCTTGAAATATCAACGATGAATCAAGAGAATGAATAGAACCATTTGCAACTTTGTTAATGTACAAAGGGAAAATAATCTTATGGCTTATGAGATGATGGACCATCTTTTGGGCACCAAAAAGTAAATTACATGAAAAGGAAAATTGCATAATAAAATAAAACTACTTTTAATTAATAAAAAATTGACCGTTGTGTCCCTTAAACTTTGTTTGAGAATTTAATAAGGAAGTGGAAAGAAAACTCTTTTTTTTATGTTTCATATTAAGAGGGAAAAAAATAGATGATTAATTATTAAAATGACTCTTATTTTTTTATTAATTTTTTTAAAAAAATGTTTTTATTTTTTCAAAAAATCCTAAAAGAATAAATAATTTATCCTCTATCTAAAAATTATTATTATTTAAATTTCTATTTCTAATTTTGTTCTCTTTATTTGTAATAGTTGTCTTCTAAAGCTTCAAAATTATTTTTAAAGTTTCTCTCTCTAAAATTAATTTTATAAAATTGATACTTTTTAATTATAGAAACTTTATTATTCAATAATAGTAATTTAATTTAATTTATTTTTAATAAAAAATAATGAATTTTAAAATTAGTTAAAATTATTAATCACACGTGCATGATAGATTTAGGTGCAGCATGACACCTTTGAATCAAATATACTTTATAAATTCTTTTTTCATTTGTTAATAATTTTCATGAACAACTTTCTAAAAAATAATTCAATTTTTGGAGGATCAAGCCACTTCTAAAAGCCAATTTAAACAATCAAACAGTGACGAATATGACATTAAGGGTCCTTATAAAGCAGAATACAAAAAAATTGAATAAAAAACTCATCACTGTTCGTAGTTAAAGACTACACAAAAACATCACTACAACTCCAACATTAGGTGAAATAAACATAGTCTATTGTCCAACAACACTCTACATCTATATTTGTATTATCTCTTGAATGTGCCTCCTTCCAATTGTTCCTCTTGGATAAAATTTTTTGTTTTTTGTTTTTTTTTTGGCACTCTTTGGTTCCTAAACATTAAACAAGTCAACTTAATTTCATTTTTTTTTTCAAGAGATAGGCAGATGAGTTTTGGGTTTCATTGGCTCTATAAGATGCAAACAAGTTCTCTGCCGTTTACAAATTATCAGTCTTGTTTATTTCTGTCCTTTGTTAAGTCCCACACAGAAGAAGTATGAACCAATAATGTTTAAGCCAGCTATAAAATGAATCATCTGTTATCTTGCTAAGCATACCTTTCTCGGCCTTTTGGCTAAGATCAAGTGTAGTATCTGTTCTTATCAGTTTAATATCTGATGCGTGAACCATTGGTTCACATGGTATTATATTTATTTTTGAAGGGAGAGGACCCTTAAATGTAGCTTGCTACTGTTGTCCTCGTGCATCGCCCACTACAGCACGGGGCTGGTGCATCCCATCTAATTCAGTTCAATTTCTTTGTGATTTGTATTTAATTTATCTTGTTTTGATTGGTTATAAATTTTTATATTTGACTCTTTTTGGTGAATATCTCATAATATACATTTTTATGTTTACATGAAAATTTCTTGTCCACTTATTTCATTTTCTGTTATTACTGCATCCTCTGTATAATTTGATATTTTGATTTGTGGAACTTTCAGAATTAACAGTGTTGTTACTTGGGTTCTACATCACATTAGAGTCGAAAATATCATTAATCCCTTTCCAAAATCTTTTTCTTATTAGCTTTAGAACATGGCTTCTTTAACAATTTCGTGTAGACGGTCAAGCTTTCTATATCCTTGACTATTTTGGTGATGGGAGATGCATGACTATTTTGACTGCATAGTGTATTACTTCCTCATGTCATAGCTTTTCTATTTCTGCACTTAAGAGTTTAAAATTGAATTTCAAATTGACTCTGTTACAGATCCAATGTTCATCATGTCTAGAATATGCGACTTTCCTTCTTCAGGTTTCTGGTCTTGTGGTCATGTGATTACCTTTATAGGTGACCTTTATTTATAAATGATAAATAAAACCTTTAAACGAAAAATGTGCAGGATAATACACAGAAGACTCCTGAGTTCCTTTCTTTCCATCCTTGAATGAAGAAAGTAAAATATGTTGGTCTGCCTAGTTATCCATGAAGTGATTTCCACTTTTCAGGTTTGGTAGATAAATAATTTAAGAATGTGTTTGATTGTCTAATATACTCGTATGGTAGGCAAAGGGTCCAGTATCTGTGGTTTGCTTTCTAACATATTGTAAGCACTCGAGCACTTTTCATAACTGTCAATTTTTGTGACAATTCTTCCACCAGACTCCAATTAAAAAAAGTTCTTAGCTGGTAATCATAAAATCATACCATTATATTGATAGGTTCTTCAGGATATCAGTCTGTTAATGACAATAGAGATCGTGTTAAATTCAACAAATTGAACATTCAAATTAACTGCGACCTAAAAAAGACCTTCTTCAATTCCTGTTTTTATAGGCTAAATTGAATATTTTGACATATGATGGGGGGTGGGGGTTAAGTTTTAAAAATTCATGTCTACTTTCCATTTGACATGCCCAAAATTTGGTTGGCTCATGTATGCTAGATCAGAATCGGTCTTGGCCAGTTGCTGACTCAATTTTTCAATTATTTTTTATAATTTTTAGATTTTTTTTTGTATTTTAAATACTCTTATATTAAAAAATATCGAAGAAAAAGGTTTAGGGATCAAATACATAAATATGGTATGCAGGAATACAATAATGGTCACATCAAATATTTTGACATAAATTTTATATATATTAATTATTATATTATTTACGCGATTATGAAGATTTTTTAAGAAAAGTATATGGGTCAGACTATTTATCACACAACTGCAAATTCAACCTTTTGTTTTCTTGAACTTTTCTGACCAAGGATGCAACTTCTTTGGAGATTTTACAATCTCTCTAAATTCTCCTCTGAAACAGGAGACATAACTGATTGTGATTGTTATGTTTTGCCAGTGTTGCCATTTGTTTTAACATATTGCTCCAAAACGTTAATAACTGTTTAGTTATATGTGTCGGCATTTTCCTCCAGAAAAAAAAAAGTGTATTTTCTCCTAACTTGATTCACTTTTCTTTCATTGTGCAGGGGCGTCTAGCTAGTCCTCCACAGGGGTAGGGTAGCAATTCCTTGGCACATATTAATTACCACACTCGTTAAGATTAGTTGTTTGTAATTGAACTTGCTGATTGTATAGCTTGTTCCAATCAAGGTTGCTGGTTGCTGCTGAACTATAGTTGGTATGGTTATTGCGTTGTCTTCTCATCTAAAAATTTCATCATGCTGGTCAACATTTGATGAGAACGTCAAGGTCCAAGCCCAAGTTGATAAGGACATCAAGCCCAAGCCTAAATTAAGGTCCAGGCCTGGAAAGCCCAACACATTTGCACTGCATAGACCACTCGGAATTAAAGGAAAAGAGCCTAATTGTCAATCTGATTTTTTGAAGACTTGATTACAATTTAGTCATTGGGAATATATCTTTTTATTATATTTTCGTTTTTTATTTTGGAATTAAAAAAAAAGTGATGCTAGCTGATTTTAAACTCAGGCACATAAGGTTAAGTTTGTTTCACAACAGCTAAGACAGCTTAGTTTTGCTTGTGCTAAAGAATTTGTAATTTTCTTTTATTTGATTCCAAATGAGATAAATTTAACTCTTATTTCTCAACAGCTAAGACAACTTAGTTTTACTTGTGCTAAAAGATTTGTAATTTTCTTTTATTTGATTTCAAATGAGAGCACATGAAGTTAAGTTTGCTCTTCAACCACTTAGACAACTTAATTTTGCTTGTGTTAAAGGATTTGTAATTTTCTTTTATTTAATTCCAAATGAGACAAACTCAAACTAAATTTGTATTAAACTTTGGAGATTAGAATGGGAAGATAGACATGTGTTCTTAGAAAGAGCATTGTGCTTGTTTAAGAGTTTTCTCTCTTAAATTCTTGATTGAACCATTTTCAATCTTAACAAATTGTAGTGCTTGTGCATTATCATATTTATGAGATTTTTTTTTAAGGCATCTCTTTATTTGTTGATCAATTATTAGAGATTTTTTAATTTGAAAAAAATATTTTTTAATTATAAAAGTGTTTCTTTTTATTGTTAAAAGTTAGTATAAAAAATAGCAAAAATAACTTATTATAAAGTTCACCCGCAGTATAAAAATTAGTTAAATTAGTTGTTCAAACCATATCAAATAAATTTGACATTTTAAATGTTATTTAATAACAAAAGTTAATACTATTATAACATAAAATATTATTTAAATTAAAAATTATTAAAAATTATAATAATTATGTGAGTTATTTTTTATTTTTACTTTAATATTTTTTCTTATACTTTTATAATTTTAATAAATTTTAGTTAATAATTAAAAATATGTTATAAATAATATATTAAAATATATATTACTAACATTTCTTAAATATAAATTATAATGTTTGTCACATATTTCATTAATGAATTTTTTTTTCTTGGCATACTTTACTTATTTTTATAATTGTTACACATTTTAGTTTTAAAAAATATTTTTAATTGTAAAATATTTTTCTAAATATTTATATAAAAATAGTAAAAATAATTATTATTAATGTATTTGCTAAATTATAATTAATTATGTTGATTGTGTTAAATTTTGAAAAAAAAATGAATAGGAAATATGGTTCTAATTAAATTTCTCTAACTTTATATGCTTTAAAAGTAAATATTAAATTAATTTTGATATATAATAATAAATTATTAAATAACTATAAATCAATGTAAAATTTTATAAATATAGTTTTGTAAAAAATGTTAATGGTGAAGTTTATAAAAAAGGTATCTAATACAACGTTATTAAATAGCATAAAAGTTTTGCTTATGTAAGTTTAAATTGATTTAAAATAGTTTTATTTTTATCATAACAATATCTATTAAATATTAAATTAATGAATAAAAATTTATTTCCTGACAAAATTTATAAATAAACAGTGTGAGAGTGTGAGAGAGACACGAACACGTATATATAGACACGCAGCCGTCACCTTCAACCCTAATCGGAGCAGAGCGAAAGAGAGAAACCCTAGTTGAGGAAAAATGCCGGCTGGTCATGGTTTGCGTGCTCGTACGAGAGATTCCTTCTCTCGTCCATTCAGGAAGAAGGGTACCATTGCCCTCACCACCTACCTCAGGACTTACCACATCGGTGACTACGTCGACATCAAGGTCAATGGCGCCGTTCAAAAAGGTATGCCTCACAAGTTCTATCATGGCCGCACTGGTCGCGTCTGGAACGTCACCAAACGTGCCATTGGTGTCGAGGTCAACAAACAGGTCTCACTCTCTCTTTCCCTCCCTCAGATCTGTCGTAATTGCTCTCCGTTTGTCTCTTATTGTTAAGTTATCATTTGCAAAACATTTGTGATTATCTATTCATGTACCTAGTTGATGATCTTTGTTCTTTTACTTTTGCCTTTTGTCTTTATTTCAACTTAATTTGATATGTATTCTCTCTGTAGCCGACATCGATTTTAAGGTTCATACGCTTATATGTTCTAAATAGCATTTTCTAGATCAGATTTCAGTTTTTCGGTGTCTGGTTTTCAGACCGAACCTGACTCTTGGGCGACGCCATTTTGTTGAGTATTTGTTCTTATGAGAAATGCAAACAATAGACAATTAGCTATTGTATTGAAATTTATTAAAAATTACAAAAAAGAAATTGTGCGGGTTACATTCCATTTCACTAATAATTTAATGATTATTTTCTGCACATTTGTAGTTTTAAATAAATTTTTGTTCTTAGTCTTTTTTTTTTATCAGTTTTTGAGTTGCTGCATGTTAGAATTGGTAGAAGTTAACCAAGCTTATTGAAGGACTGAATGTGATGTGTAGGTGGGTAACAGAATAATCAGAAAGAGAATCCATGTTCGTGTGGAGCATGTGCAGCCTTCAAGGTGCACTGAGGAGTTCCGGCTGAGGAAGATCAAGAATGACCAACTCAAGGCTGATGCTAAGGCTAAGGGAGAGGTCATTAGCACCAAGAGGCAGCCTGAAGGACCTAAACCAGGTTTCATGGTTGAAGGTGCCACTTTGGAGACTGTTACTCCCATTCCTTATGATGTCGTCAATGACCTTAAAGGCGGTTACTAGTCTGTTCTCTGTTCAATTGCCTAGGTTTTTTCTTCTCTGGGTTTTAGTCCTTTTTTCTTTGGAAGAGCCTTATAATTTATCAACAGTCAGACTCAAGTTTTGCCTTGTTTGATTCTAAATACAAGGATATGTTATATTTTGTTCCTCCTCAGTATTATGCTTTAATCTCTTTTCGTATGCTAGTAGGTAGCATGGGAGTGGTGGATGAAATCATGTCTCAGTAGCATTGTGTATTGATGATTTTTATATACCCCTGATTTTGCTTATATCTTGATTAATATTTGTATATACCCTCGACCAAACGTCGGCGCCGCTGAGTTACAATCTATAACTCGTTATAATAATTTATTAATTTTGGTATAAAAACTCTCCTCTTGTTTTACTTCGTTTTGTTTAAGAGAAGCCTTTTTTGGCAAAATATTTAAGAGTTTGAATGCCAGATAAATCTAGACATTCACTGGTGTAATTGTTACACTTTGATATTTTTGTAATAGTTTCTATCTTTTTATTACGAGGCCACGACAATTAGGGACATTTTCTTCGAAAATGTGCACTTGTTTTGTGTTGCAACGCGGTCCTAGTATTAGGCAATCACGATAATTATGCTTGGATTGCTGGTAAAGAGTGAAATGGTATGGAATGAAGGTGTTTCATCGAGTACATCAATCGACACAGATGATATTAGGCAATCACGATGACTGCGTGACATAACCTGGCAAAAGATTGAATACTGAAGTAACCAACGTCAATTTCCTTGATTTACTGAAAACTTCCCTTCCAATATGCTAGCCTCGTGTTAAGTTTATCTAAAATAAACTCAAAATCCCTTTTAGTTATGAGCCGGTGAAATAGAGGGATTAGAGGGAATCCAAGTTATTTTCTCAGATTTGAGGTGCTTTGAATACCCGTCATAGCAGTGAATCTATTACACTCACTTCTTAGGACATTTTTGGAGTCAAAAGAATTAGATTTTGCTATGTTACTTTCAGGCCTGAGGCTTGGCAAAACTTCAAAGAAGTTTCAGAAACAAGTCTTATTTGCTTATTCTTGGATTTGACGCATAAGAGGTAATTGTCCCCGAAGTTCTACCTGCTAATTACTTTTTGGCTCTAGCTTCTCTCATTTATTCTCTGGTTTTACTTCGTAGTTTCCATGAATTTGAAGTTATCTTGAGGAGATATTATTCTAAATTGGTTATTTCTCGTTTGAGATAGGCACTGCAATTTGACAATCGCCGATGTAACCGTATAAACACCTAGATTTATCGGGATAATATAGTGCTTCATTGTTAGTCATAATACTTTTGACTGCCTGCTTGAGTACTGTGTCGCATGTGAACTAAGTTTCCCTTTAGCGCCCAGATCTTGCTATCTTGCTATGATTTATATTTTTCACAATATTAGTAATATGTAAATGACATCAAACATCTTTGCTTTTCTTTCCATCCTCTACAACCCAACTTCATAGCATTGCAATGCATTAGGTAATCACCAATGCCATTTCCTTTCTCAAAAAAACTAACTCTTATTTCAATCCTTTTTTTCAAACCTACGTATATTAAGGTTACTATGTATTTTCTCCTCTATAAATACTTGTATCATTTTCACGGTTATGTATGAACAAAAATAGCCTCGGTTTTCCTTTATATCTTGCAAGCTAAGGATCCTGTAGCTTCTAATATGTCCTCGGGTACACTCAAAGGTAGCAATTATTCCGCTCAGTGCTCCAATAAGAGTTTTGCGCTCACTTATATTTGAGATTTAGCTTATCTGAAGTGCGAAAGCGAAGACTTATTTGAAATATTAGTTAACTTTAAATAAACCATCTAATAGGCTCTCTCGTATATCACTTTGTAAATGACAATAAAGATTGGACAAGTTCAACAATGTGAACATTATTATAATTTAATCAGAACTTAAATAGGCCTTATCCTGTAAAGTTGAACCACTCTCGGTCATGAGTCATCCACCAGACGTAGGTTCCTGTCTCCTTAGAACTCAAGGAAACAGAGTTACGAGCCTATAGAATAGATCCTGTTCAAGTAAGGTCGTGACCGCTTGCTTCACGCTTGCCAATATAAAACCTTGTCTGTAGCTAAATTCTTTCAATGGGACTATTTCTATTTTATGTCAGTGACCGTGCTAGTAACCATCTTGTGGCTTTTGTTACAGGCTAAAAGATTGTCAAAGTGCGGGAATTTTTAAGAGACCTTTGTCCAGCGTAGCTGGCTGCAGAGTTCAGAAATTGTTCAAACCTTGTAGAACGAAAATTAAGTTTGAGAGGTGAATCCATTAAACATTGTCAGAGGTGTTTGTTGCATAATCGTTTATATTTTTCTCTGGTTGATCTCTCTGCAGCTGTTAGCTTTGACATATTCAGTGAGATGGTATGACTAACTACTGGTGTCAACAAGTAGGGATTGATTTCATAAATGTCTTCTCTCCAATAGTCTAAGTTACCACTGTAAGGGTTTTATTATCTTTAGCAACAATTGAAGGTTGGAAACTACTTCAATTGCATTAATAATGCCTTCCTTAATGGTGGCTTATTTAAAGAAGTGTACATAGATCTTCCAGTCAGGCTTAAGACTAAGGAGGAGAATAAGGTAAGCAAATTACATAAATCAATTTATGGTCTTAACTAAGCTTCCCAACAATGGTTTACAAAGTTCTCAAAAGTTATCTAGATGATATTATAATGGCAACACCCGACTCTTAACATAATAAAGTTCAACACGAATTGCAAAGTCATTTTGAACTCAATCTTGAGTAAGTTGAAATATTTTGTTGGATTAGAGTTGACACACTCAAAAGTTATATATATGTCTCAAAGAAAATATGTTCTTTCTCTATTTGAAGATACTAGAATCATCTCCTCTAAATTAGCAATCCTTCCTATGGATCCCAACCTAAAACTAAGTACATACGAAGGTGATAAATTATCGAATCACTCACAATATTTAAGACTTCTTAGCAGACTGCTATATCTCATCATCTCCAAACATGAAATTTGCTTGCTGTCAACTGATTAAGTCAACTCATGTCGAATCGAAGAACACTCATTTAGATGTTTATCATCTCCTTAAATATCTTATTAAAGGACTCCGGGATAAGGTCAATTGTTTTATCCTTTTCTCTAAACTTCAAGGAATATGCATACGCAAATTGGGAAAATTACCTTGACACTCAAAAGAAAAATTATTTGGTCTGTCAGACAACCGAATGACCATCCCAGGCAATCGAAACTGCTTGAGAACGATCCTCCACAGCCCAAGGTGAGCTTCCTCCTCAGAGAGAGTTCACCGAGCCGTTAATCACGCTCTGATCAATCGGTCATGATTCATCCACCAGACGTAGGTTCCTGTCTCCTTAGAACTCAAGGAAACAGAAGTACGAGCCTATAGAACAGATCCTGTTCAAGTAAGGTCGTGACCGATTGCTTCACGCTTGCCAATATAAAACCTTGTCTGTAGCTACAATCTTTCGATGTGGGACTATTTCTATTTTATGTCAGTGACACCACTAGTAACCATCTTGTAGCTTTTGTTACAGGCTAAAAGATTGTCATCTTGCGCGAATTTTTAAGAGACCTTTGTCCAGCATTTCTTGTTGCGGAGTTCAGAAATTGTTCAAACCTTGTAGAACGAAAATTAAGTTTGAGAGGTGATTGAATTCAAAAGGGCCAATTCACCACCTGTAATGATCAAACACCTCTGACAATGTATAATTTTGTTGCATAATCGTTTATATTTTTCTTTGGTTGATAGATCTGCAGCTGTTAGTTTTGAAATATTCAGTGAGATGGTATGACTAACTATTGGTGTCAAGGTGGTGAATTACTGTGAAATATATTTAGACATCCAACAGCTGCAGCGTGTTGCTTATCCAGTAATAGCTCTCAAATCTTTTGATGGGTCATTGATATGAATTAAGAGGAATAAGCAGATGCACATGCAACACTCATTTTCTGTACGATGGGAATAAATATAATGTGTGAGATGATATAGCATTTTTGGTGCATCATGAAGGAAACTAGATGAAAGAGGGCATTGCTATAAACAAAACTGATTGTAAACTAGATTAGTATTCTCTAGGGGGCATTATCCCCACCAACACAAAAGGATATATACCTATCTCAGGTCTTCTGGGATATCTCTGAACTATTTGATGCGTTTTGGATTATTAATTTTTATTTGGGATTTTAATTATCCTTGTTTCAATAAGGATATCCTTTTCCACTGTATTAAATTTTCTGTTATTATTATCTATATATATCCCTCTAGCCAAAACTGCAGAACATTTTATTTGAATATTACAATTTTGAATTTTCAGAATTGCTTGTTTTCTTGGTTCCTTGGGTTCTACTTTTCACTATTCAAATAAAATGAAGAAAACTCAAATGTTCTGAATGCTCTTCCACAACACTTCTTTAATTGGCTTTGTACTTCTTATTAAGCAGAACAGCTCCTCTATATGTCTCAAACATTGTCATATAGCAAGTCAAGTCTTCAATGTCCTTGCAGCATAATTATTTGCTTGAATGGTCTGCTGATGGAACATGTATAAACTAATTGTAATTTTGATTGACGATCTATCTCTCATGTCTTACATACTATCTAAATTTAAAAAATGAAAATCGAGTTTGACATTGGGTTTCCAATCTTTCCTTCATGTAATAGATCCAAAGATGCAAATTATTCATTTTCTCCAATAAGAACAATTTGAGAAAACATTTTTTTCATTTTTACAAATAATTACAAAATGCCGCCTTATTTTTTTCATTTATTTTCATATTTTTAAAGATTTGTTCATGAATGATGAAAACAAGTTTTTTTTCAAATTGTTCGGGTATAACTATTTGATTGACTTCGTTTAACAAAAAGTTCCATGATACTACCGTAAAAACGTGTGTATCGATTGATTAAAACTATATTAATTTAATTAGAGACATGACAAAGACAGATTAAAAATGAAAAATAAAAACTCATATGGATACTTTTAACATCTTGATATTCTATTTAAAATTATCCTGATAATAATGGGGAAGAATGTTCAACTGTTCGGGTATATAAAGCCCACATGAGGTCCAAACATAGCCACGCAGATCAATGGGTGTCCCCAACCTCTTTTCTATTTCTAGCTTCTTGAATATCATGAAGCATAAATCTTTCTCATTAGGCCTCTTACACTCTTTTAAGAGCCTTGTTCTTTTTATTGGCAGTGAGTATGCCTCCTAGAACAGCAGATGAATTGACTCTTATTTCATTAGGAAAATTCTTTTTAAGGAAAAAAAAAAAAGCACTTAAGTTGCATAACTTTTATTGTCTCTTTCAATTTTCGTAAAATATTTGTGAGATGTATAAATATGAAATAGACAAAATGAGAGATTGATAGATAGTTATATATGATATTAAATATAGTGTCAATTATTTAATGTTTAAATATGAAACTTCATTCCTTAACTATCAATTGACAATTGTACAAGTAGGTGGATTGATTTTTTCAAATGCACTTATCTTTAGAAATTAGTGTTATGTATAAAAATTCCATTTTTACTGATTTATACAAAGTGTCCAAATTCTCTGCCCAATCTTTCTGTCTAAAATCATTAAATAGTTCCCTCTTAAACAAACTTAGGCCGTGTTTAAGAATGACAAAACAATGCCCTCTTTCATTTTCACAAAATTGGGCTGAATTTAAGAATGACAAAAAAAACCTTGCTTAGGTTGTCAGACTAACCAACTAGATAATTCTACCAGACTAAAAATTATTGGTTCCTTAGAGCTCAAGAAAATAGAAGTACCAACCTGTAGAACATTCAAATAAGATCAGGTTCTTTAAATTCTGACTTTAGTCATAAAAACATTTATCTCCTAAGTTTTCCCAATTTGAAACCCAAATTATGTGTTGGTAACAATTGCAGCTTTTTTCAATGTAAGGTTATCTTGGTCTGCCGTATTTTAACAGGCATTTGTCCTACATGTTGCTGCCATATGGGCTCATAACTTCACAAATTTTCCTTTATTAAAGATGAAATTTGAGATATAAACAATAAAACTCTGCTACAAGGGTTAGTGACAGCCATATAAGTTCTTCTATAAGAAATGATTGCCAAAGAAAATTTTGTTTTAAATTGCAATCGTCAAAAAGAAAAAACTGAACCCGGGACATGTTTCAGCTATGATGTGTATTTGGTAATTTCTCAAGTTGATGTCTAGCGTGTACCTGTAGATGGAGTGCTGCAGGTGAATTGGTTCTTTCATCTGCATGCTTTCTTAATCGTCCATACTATTCTGCTTAGTGCTGGTGGCGTAAGTTATTAGGTTGGTCTACTTGTAGCTGCTAGATTTGGTATATTAAATAAGATAGGGTGTACAACACTATAACTACTGCAAGCAAGGCAGAGAGAGTAACTAATCAATTCAAAGTTATATTTATTTTACTCCTTTATGGTTGCAATCATGTTGCTCCAAAATTTCTCTCTTTTTCTTTGAGTCCCACACTGAAAAAACATCAAGCAATGATGCAAAATCCAATAATTAAATATAAACATTTACACCCTAACAAAGCATACCTTTCTCGGCCTTTTGGCTAAGATCAAGTGTAGTATCTGTTCTTATCAGTTTAATATCTGATAGGTGAACCATTGGTTCACATGATATTAAATTTATTTTTGAAGGGAGAGGACCCTTAAACGTAGCTTGCTAATGGGGGTTCTCATGCATCACCATGCCTTGCACTACAGCGTGGACATGGTGCATCCCACCCAATTCAGTTTAAATAATTTATGTTCAACAATCTATATTCAAGAAGAGTCCCCTACAATGTGTATTTGGGAGTATGAGATCCCCTTCAGAATCTTGCCTTTGCATCTGACAGCGTGCAGGAACTTAGGTCCCCTATATTTGTCTGGGAATGCTTAACCTTTGTGAAGCCCTTTTTTGTTTTTTTCAAAAGCTAAGTTGGTAAAAACAATAATTAATGCTCTTGAGAAACAAGTTCAACCATAATTGCATGTATTTTCACAACTGTAGAAAATTCAATTACCAAATTGTTAATTGCTCTAGATACCACTGTCCACTGTCCAAACAAAACTTTAAGAGCTGCCAAAGTTAATAACTGTTCTAGATTGGCTCATTAAACATAAATGGTCCATCAAAGTTAATGCTCTAGGAGATTGGTTGGAAATCTATGCCAGAACCGCAATGTCAGTTAAGTGCCTCAGTATCGTAAGGCAATGCCAAACGGATTTAGTTGTGAAAACTGAAAATTGGAACAATGCCCCTTTTGAAGTACAAGATAACAAAGGAATGTTTGTGGGGATTTGCTCAAGATAGCTCATGTGATATTCCAGAAATTTATGTTGTCAGACTATAAATATAGCCCCCTCTTGTGCTTAATTTTAATTACAGGTTTGGTAGTGTACTAGAAGACCAATATTCAATTTTAGGAAGGTAGAATTGTTCTATTTATGAGATGCAATTGCACCAAAAGATGCATACTATGTACAGATACATCAAAGACTATTCTGAAAATATCCGAACAAATTAGCAGTCTAATATCAGCACTCTTCAAGATATTATCTTTGTCCTGCCCTTCTGTTTTCAATGCTTAACAAGTGGTCTTCTTTTGGATCAATTTGTAGGATTTCTATTCATTGGAGAATCTTCAATATCAGGATAAATAATTATATATAGGAAACATTTTTAGGGCATACAAAAAGTATAACATTTCCCCTTTCTTTTGAAATTTGAAAGGGTGATGAGTAAATTAAAAAAATAGATGAGACAGCTACTCTATCAGCTCAGATTCACATAGGAACAATGGAATTGTGGTCTGGGTGTTGCCAGCCCTGGGTTGGGTGCCTTGTGGTCCTACTCATTTATGAAATGTCTGTTTCAATCTATATTGAGGATGGAAAATTATCCCAATTTCTTTCAAAATCTTTAGTTTGTTTCCATCATTTCTAATCACGCCACAATGCAATTTTGTCATTAGCCTAAAAGCATTTGCTTCGTTCAAGGGAACTGGCGTTACTTTAGAGGTTGCAGTAGTATGCAGTTATGATAATTGATACCTGATATCAACGGATTCCAACTATATATATAGTTTTAAATTGTTAAATATAATTAAGATGTGTATAAATTAAGGTAGTTCACATATTTTTGTTGAAATTGTTGTTGTTAACATAAAATAAGAGTAGAAGGATAAAAATGTTTTGCGGAGAATACTACAATATTATTCACTTACTCGTTTTAAATAGAGTTAAAGTCAAACATACAAAATAAAATATTCCTTATTTTTAGGCACGACTAACAATAATTCAATCTGATAAACAGAAACAAAAACTCCTAATGATTAGGTCTTAAATAACAGAAAATTAAAATTTAAAAAATTGGATAAAACAGCCACGTGTGCAGTTGTTGCAGGCATATTTTCAACAAATCTCCTCCTTGCCTCAATAGCTGCAAACACCTAATTTGTTTCTCAAAGCTTCAAATCTAGATTTTGGAAGGGCTTTTGTTAAAACATCTGCACTTTGATCTTCAGTTCTGTAATAAAGAAGTTTGACTTCACCTTCTCTTTGTACTTCTCTTAAGAAAAATAGCTTAATCTTAAAATGCTTAGTCTTGCAATGAAAAACAGGATTATTTGAAATAGAAATAGCTGCTTGATTATCAACAAAAATCTGTGTTGGCTCTTTTTGCTCAATATGTAGATCAACAAGTATATGCCTTAGCAAATAGCTTGATTCCCAGCTGCAGTGGCTGCCACATATTCTGCCTCAGCTGTGCTTTGAGCCACTATATCTTGTTTTTTGGAACTCCATGAAAACATACCCGAACCAAAGCTGAAACAGTAACCTGTTGTACTTTTCATGTCATCATTTGAACCAGCCCAATCACTATCAGAATATCCTTGAAACTGAAAATTTTGAGAGTGAGTGAACTTGATGCCATAATTTATAGTTCCCTTGACATATCTCACAATCCGTTTGGCAGCTTGAAGATGGACCTCACTAGCACAATGCATAAATCTTGAAAGGACACTTACTGCAAACATGATATCAGGTCTAGTTGCACTAAGATACATTAGGCAACCAATTATACTTCTATAATGATATTCATCTACCTTATCGGCTCCATCATCTTTGCTGAATTTTTCTTTCTGGTTCATTGGTGTATCAATGCTTTTGCAGTCCTCCATGCAGAACTTCTTCAGTATTTCTTTTGCATATTTTTTTTGACATAGAAAAACTCCATCTTTTTCTTGCTTCACCTCCATTCCCAAAAAAAAGGACATTAAACCAAGATCTGTCATCTCAAACATTTGAAGCATTTTAGCTTTGAACTCCATCATTAGTTTTTCATTAGTGCCTGTCACAAAGAGGTCATCAACATAAATAGAAACTATAATTAAATCACCTCCTGCCATTTTCACATATAATGTAGCTTCATTTGGACTTTTAATAAATCCAAGTTTTTTAAGATAATCATCAATTCTTCCATACCAAGTCCTTGGAGCTTGTTTAAGACCATACAAGGCTTTCTTTAGCTTGTAAACCTTATCTTCTTATTCCTTAACTTGAAATCCCTCTGGCTGCTCCACAAATATCTCCTCTTGCAAATAACCATTTAAAAATGCAGATTTTACATCTAAATGGTAAATTTTCCAACCTTTGTGTGCAGCCAAAGCAAGCAGCATTCTGATTGTATCGAGACGTGCAACGGGAGCAAACGTTTCTGAAAAATCCACTCCAAACACTTGAGCATAACCTTTTACCACCAACCTGGCCTTGTGTTTATTTATAGAACCATCTGCATTTAGTTTAGTTCTATAAACCCATTTGACTCCTATGGGTTGTTTGTGTTGAGGTCGATCTACTAGCTCCCAAGTGTCATTTTTTTCAATCATCTTAAGTTCTTCCTTCATAGCATTAATCCACTTCTCATCCTTTTCAGCTTCTTCAAATTCAGCAGGTTCTAAGACAGCCACATTACACTTTTGATAAATCTCGGATAAAGATCTTGTACCTCTGACAGGAATTTCATCAACTTCATCATCAAGGAGTTGTGGAGTTTCTAGAAGTTGCTTTCTTACTGGCTTCTCCCAACTCCACTGTTGATCTTCCATGAACTTTACATCTCTACTCACAAGAATTTTTCCATTTTGTGGTTAGAAAATTCTGTAAGCTTTAGCCGTGCTACTATATCCGATGAAAACTCCGGGTTCAGCCTTTTTGTCAAGTTTGTCCCTTTTAACCTGTGGAACATAAGAAAAACAAACACAACCAAAAATTCTCAAATTTTGTAAATCTGGTTTGTACCCAAACCAGTCTTCAAATGGAGTTCTTTTGTTCAAAACTCTACTTGGCAGCCTATTGAGCAAAAATACAGCAGTGCTTGCTGCCTCTGCCCACAGCTTCTTTGGCAAATCTTTCTCATGTAACATGCACCTTATCATCTCCATGATGCTTCTATTTTTTCTCTCACTTACACCATTTTGTTGTGGGTTGTATGGTACTGTAAGTTGGTGCTCAATGCCAGCTTCTTCACAAAATTTATCAAAAACGTCATTTGTATATTCTTTTCCATTGTCAGACCTTATTATTTGTAATCTGCAACCACTTTGATTTTCCACAAATGCTTTATATTTCCAGAAAATATTGGCAACCTCAGTCTTGGATTTAAAGAAATAAATCAAACAGTATCTAGTATAATCATCAATAAAAGTAATATAATATTTATTACCATTTAAAGACAATACTCTCTGAGGTCCCCCAACATCTGTATAAACAAGTTGTAGCCTTTGAGTTGCTCTCCAAGTGGTTTGAGGAAATGGTTTTCTGACTAGTTTACCAAGTTGGCAAGCCACACAATCTACCGACTTGTCTTCAAGCATCGAGACACCTTTCACCAAGGTATGTTTCTGCATGTATAACAGTCCTGCAAGATGAAAATGTCCAAGTCTTTTGTGCCATAGATCAGCATTGGTGGTTGTGCTCGAAAAAGCTATTTGCTCCTCCTCCATCAGATTTAGAGCATAGCTCTTAGATCTCATTTTCACTCTAAATACATCTTTGCCTTTTGTGTCTTTGATCAAGCACCAGTTATTTTCAAATATGACTTTGAAGCCCTTTTCCACAAGTTGTGCAACACTAAGCAAATTTTGGTCAATGTTAGGCACATATAAAACATCAGAGATATACTTTAAACCTGTCAAGCTTTCAATAGCGATGGTCCCTTTCCCTTTAACTGAGATGAAATCACCATTTCCAATTTTTACTTTGGAAATGGTGGTTTTGTCAAGCTCTTTAAACAGCTTTTCGTCGTGGGTCATGTGGTTTGTGCAGCCGCTGTCTATTAACCATGAGTCACTAGAACAGTTGATTGTAGTGAAACATGTTGCAACAAAGAGTTGCTCATCTTCTTGCTCCTCTAAGGTGACATTTGCCTCTTTTGATTTAGACTTGCAGACTCGCTCTACATGTCCCAAATCACCACATTTTCTACACTTGATATCTGGCCTCCACCAACATCTTTCTTTTGGATGATTTGTCTTTTTGCAATGTGGACAAGGGGAAAAGTTCTCACCTTGCTGTTCGTTGAAACCTTCTAGCTTTTTGTTCTTCCATTTGTTGTTGTTTTTGCCACCTTTTGAATTTTGTGCTTTTACATGAAAAGCACCTTGTACCGTCTCATCTTGTCTCATCATTCTTCTTTGCTCCTGGGCCTGTAAAGCATTTACCAATTCTCCCAAGGTGATGGTTGACATGTCCTTTGACTCCTCCAATGCTGATATCTTTGATTCATATTTTTCTGGTACAGTAACCAGAATTTTTTGAACTATTTTTTCATCAGGAAAGTCTTTCCCGAAAAGCTGCACTTTATTTGCTATATTCATCAGTCGATCAACATAATTTTTAATTGTTTCTGTCTCCTTCATGCTCTGCATCTCGAATTCTCTAGCTAAGTTAAGCACTTGCATGCCTTTGGTTCTTTCACAACCAGAATATTGTTTCTTGAGATAATCCCAAATCTCTTTGGCAGATTTGAAATACATAATTCTTGTAAAAATGATTTTTGACACAGCAGAAAAAAGGCAATTTTTTGCCTTTGCCTTTTTTGTCTTTCTCTCCTTGTGGTACTTCATTTGAGCCACCGTTGGATTGTCAGGCAATATAGGAACATCATAATCTTCTTCTACTGCCTCCCAAAGATCCAATGCTTCAAGATGACAGATCATCCTTGCAGCCCATAACTCATATTCCTCACCATCAAAAATTGGCGGTGAACCTACTGTGTATGTATTATCCTCCATTGGTGTTTCTCTCAACTCACAGATCCCTCAAAGATAAAGGCTCTTGATACCAATTTGTTGTTGTTAACATAAAATAAGAGTAGAAGGATAAAAATGTTTTGCGGAGAATACTACGATATTATTCACTTGCTCGTTTTAAATAGAGCTAGAGTCAAACATACAAAATAAAATATCCCTTATTTTTAGGCACGACTAACAATAATTCAATCTGATAAACAGAAACAAAAACTCCTAATGACTAGATCTTAAATAACAGAAAATTAAAATTTAAAAAATTGAATAAAACAGCCACGTGTGCAGTTGTTGCAGGCATATTTTTGTTGAAATATATATTATTAAAATAAAAAAATGATTTTCTAAAAGCTTAATAGATAAGGCTTTAGTCTCATAAGATTACAAACCAGTTGTTAACAGGCAGCTTAACATGCTAATATAGTAAGATTCCCTTAACAGGGCATTGGCATGTGATTTCCCTATCAGTATACTTTGATGTTGATAGATGTTACCGGTTGACGATTATAATGCTAAACCAACATGAGAATTAAATCATTCACGATTAATAGGATGGGAAGCGTAAATAAAAGGACGATGACCGTTAGTTATAACATACGGTTCACGTCATAATCTTATTTGTATTCACCTAATGCCGTCTAATTATCATGAAATATAACTCTTCTCTTAACACATTGTTGCCCGAACTCAACAAAGTAAGCCATTTGCGTGAAAAATGAAAAGAAACAGGTAACTTTTTTTAATATTGCCACCCACTCGATGAATTGAGATAATCTCTTCATTCCCTTCCCAATTTTTTTGGGTACATATATATTTTAATCTTGCTATGTAACCGTAATGAGGTAATATGCACCTTCTAATATGCGCATAAATCATCATTCAACTCGCATCTCCCATTTTGGCTATTGAAAACCAACGTGATTATTTCATCATCGTTCTTCCCCTTATATCACCCATAAAGTGATATTAAAGAAGAAAATAATACACTCATCCTCTCCTCATCAAACTTAATGTTTAAGTAGTTTATGAAATCATAAACTACTAAGCTTTCAGATGGGCTAACCTTTGGATGCTTGTATTGGCTAATGAACATATATATTTGGCTTTAAAGGTGAAGTTGCCAACTGCCTGCACTATTGGCTAGAGGATTGATGGTTCAAGTCAAGCTCACCACCAAAATGAAAATCAATGCTAATGAATATGATAAACAGCTTGTGGACTAACCGACCCATGAATATTTTATGATTTTCTTCACTTGGAATTGACTCATTTTTTGCATTAAATAAAGAAAAAATGTAACACTTCACATGGGAGTTGAGGATAACCTCACCAATATTAATCTAGTCAGACAGAGCGTGCCGAAAACAGAAGGCATGATATTTAGTTCCACTTTATAATAACGTGATTTTTTGCATCCAAATTTTAATATTTACCTTACTTTTTTTTAGAGGTTAACTTTGGTACGTTGTTCATACATATTATATTATTAACGAATCAAAATGACTTTAAATTAATTATTATAAAAACTCATAACTTTCAATTATATGTTAATATGTTATTGGTTGACTACATTAAAAAATTACAATGTTATTATATTTCAATTAAATTTTTCCTATCATTTTATTTCTTTCACGTCACTTTACACATTAAGTACATTTATTATCGTTTCCACTTTCCTTATTTTTCTCTTTTTTCTTGTGACTTTTATATATTGATGAGGCAAAATATATAAAATCCATATATTAACTCAAGTTTAATTCAATGTTGATTTTTTCTTGTTTTGTTGTGTTAACACCTTAAGGAATTTAAGTGCATGGTAGGTTGCAAATAACAATGCGAATTATTTAAAATTTAGAACTTAACAAAAATTATGTGAGATTTAATGTAACATTTGAAAAACCGGAACTGGGAGCTTGGCAGTTCCAATTTTACCACGTTGTATCCCTGGTCCTGGAAAGTCAAATAAACAGTGTTTTTACATGTTAAAATAGGTCACTAACTAACAATACTTAAAAGGAGGCTTAACTTAAGTACGTTTACCCTAAAAAATATGCACAGGAATCTTCCAATGGTCAGTGTTCCCTTTTAACCACTTGATTCTCTCCAAAAAAAACAAATGGTCCCTTATCAAATTTTCGGTAATTTAAAAAATGGTCCAAACCGCTATTTGATGCTCCCAATTACATTCAGCATTGATGTTCATCAACTGCCCCCTCCAACCCACTTGAAAGCTCCTGTCTACCACCTCCCCCTCAACACAGTTCCTTCCTTTTATCATCCTTTCGATCTAAGCCTCCAAAACCTCTCTCACATCATAATACCTTTGAAATCATCCTCTGCCTTCTTTCTCCCTCTCTCTCTCAAAGGACAATCATTTCACAAAGGCCTTCCAAAGAAGAGGACTTTTCTTTTCAGATAACAAAGCCAAAAAGTTTGGAGTAGGAAGGGCAAAAAAGTGTCTTTTTCATATTTTGAGAGGGAGCAACTAAGAAAAAGGGACACACACCCCCCCCCCCCTCCCCCCGGCCCTTCTCTTTTGTGGAATCATCAATCATGGGTTGCTCAGCCTCAAGAACCATCACCATTGTGGCCAACAAAAATCCAGAGGAACCCTCTCCTTCTGCTTCCTCTTCTTCTTCTTTCTCTTCTTCTTCTGCTTCACACTGCTCCAATTCTTCACCACAAGTCCGCAGAGCCCTTTCCCTCCCAATGCCTCTTGTTCATCACCCTCCCATAAAAAAGGGTGACACACACCACCTTGTCTCCCTCACCTCAACCACCTACGGTTCCCTTCTCCTCATTGACCAAAAAGACCCCAACTTTAGCCACAAGGACCAACCCCATCTCAGCAAAACCTCAAACCAAACAGACCCAGAACAATCACTCTCCCCTGACTCTGTTATCAACACATGGGAACTCATGGATGGCTTAGATGAAGAAGAAGAAGAAGAAGATTCACGCCATGACACTGCCAAGCCTCTTCACACTTCCATTATAGACAAACCAACTTCATGCAGGTACACAGCCTTTGATGGGTCTGCAAGGAAGAAACTGCTTGATTCCTTTGAATCACTGAAAGCCTCACAAGCAACCATGGAAAATTCGTCCTCTTTCTCTTGTTCTTCTTCGCCTCTATTGACAAAGAAGCCACTATGGCAGCATTTGTCTGAAGAAGCTTTGCTTGCTAAGTTAGACCCAAGTGTGGCTTGGAGTTACAGAAGAGCATTATCATCAAGGCATCTAGGTAGAAACACCCTATTCAGAGATGTAAGATCAATGGGTTCTAGCCCTTTAAGATCTTCTTCTCTCTCATTTGCTAACAACAATTTGTGCCATTTACCCGGCTCAGAAGACAGAATAGTACTGTATTGTACTAGTTTGAGAGGGATCCGCAAGACCTATGAGGATTGTTGTTCAGTTAAGATGATACTGAGGGGCTTCAGAGTTGCGGTTGATGAGAGAGACATCTCAATGGACTCATCTTATAGGAAGGAGTTGCAGGATGCACTTGGTGGCAAAGTAGTGACCTTGCCACAAGTGTTTATCAAAGGGAAACATGTGGGAAATGCAGAGGAAATGAAGCAGCTGAATGAATCCGGAGAATTGGCAAAGCTTTTGGAAGGTTTTCCTACACAAGATCCTGGGTTTGTGTGTGAAAATTGTGGAGATGCAAGGTTTGTGCCATGTCCTAATTGCAATGGTAGCAGAAAGGTGTTTGAGGAGGAAGGAGGAGGGTTGAGAAGGTGCCCTGATTGTAATGAAAATGGCTTGATAAGATGCCCAGGTTGCTGCTCATGATCGATGGGAAATTACTCATTGGTCTCACTTGTCTCTTGTTTTTTGTTTCTTGGGGTTTAATTTGTCATGAAAATTTTTGACAATTACTATGAATGCATCTTTCAGTTTCGTCCTTTGTTTTTAGTTAGTACCTTTGGTTGTTACTTTGTTTATGTCAGAGTTTTGCTCTATTGGTGTTTATTTACCCCTCTGAACAGCAAAAAATAAAACTGACAAGGTCATATTATATGTACCTGCTTAATTTCTAATTTCAAGTGTCTGGTCTATAAAGTAAGTATCATGTATGGTTTTTTATGGCATAAAATGCAATTATGAAAGATACTTTTGAAAACAGCAAAACCATTCCAACAAACTCCAAGGGCTTGAACTACCGCACTTCTATATCATTAATTTTAGCAGATACAAAACAGTTGCAAAATGTGTGGGTTATTGGTGTTGGCTGTGTTACCACGTTTGTGCTTTGTCAGTTTCGGCTAAAATAGGCCATTTTTTGAGAGGGTAAATATCATAATACTGACCCATCTTGCTGCAAGGGTACAGTCTTCACGTTCACAACATAGTGGTGTGTCTGCCACTCTGGTCTCGTGTGTTTGATGAATTTAAGAAAATAATTTACTGCATGCTATAGGGAAGGTTAAATAAACAATATCATTTGCTTATAATATTTTGTTCTATTTGTTGTAGTCATAGTAAAACATTTTAATTCAATCATTCACATTTTCACATGGCACGTAAATGATGATACATTAAATCAATGTTCGGTAGTGGGGTTGATATTTATCGGTCACATATGTAAGATTGACAAATGTTTGTGAAAAGGGTAGAGTGGTCACCTGCATATGTGATAGAGGAAAACACCAGCTTTTTGGTAGAAAGTCTAAAAAGATTCCTTAGTTTTCTAACTATGAAGGAGGTACTCGGTTAGTATTACTAAACCGATTTAATTCAATAACTAAATGATCAAACTGAAAATTTGTACAGTTTTATTACATTATATTGGATTTTGAATTTAATTTTTAAAATTTATATAATTTTATTTAACTTAAATTTAAACACATAAAATCTTATTTACAGAAAAGTGGAGATTCAGTAATTTCAAAAATAATTCTTAATAATATTATTTTATTTAATATAATATTATATATATATAATTTTATTAATTAATGGTCGAATGATGTGATATTACATATACATCAAATTTTAGAAAAGTGTTAATTATTTTATTATTTGTATGAATTTTTGTATGTTCAATTAAATTTTAAAATAGTTAGATTGACCAAATTTAATATTTATAAAGAGTTATTAAATAGAACTAACACAAGAGTTATTTTCAAAAATTATCTTCGTAACTTGAAAAAATTGCTAGAGAAATTTGACCGATACCTGTAATTTAGATATACTAATTGATACTTTAAATTAGTCTTTAATTACAATTATTTTGTAACATATTTAATAACAAAGATATAAAAAAACAAATCATCCAGCTCAATTTAAGCTTTGTTAAATTGGATTAAATTAAACTAGACTTCACATTATATTTGAACCAATCTAAACTAAAGTGTAAGTTATGAAAAAGCAAATTTTATCAATTCAACAATTAATTCACATGAATTTTAAAATATATGACACTGTATGTTAAATTTAATAATAATTTTTTATCAAAAATAAATTTTATGAATCAAACTATTAATTTGTGTGATATTAGACTGTATAAATTTTAACAATTTAGACATCTGAAATTATACAATCTAATTGGTATTTTAAATTAAACTGATAGATTGTCAGTGTATAAAGAAGAGCAAGAGAACAAAAAACAGCTAGCAGGAGCTTCTTCAACCCTGACCATATCTATCCCCAGATTTATGCTTTTCATGGTTTAAATTACTCTTATTTTTAAAAGTTGTGTGTAATATATCAATACAAAGACAAAAACAGTAATGGAATAGAAACGAGTAAAGTAACTTTTAACCATTGAATATTCGAATTCTCCATCAAATATTGGGCACCACATTCATAAAAAAATTCACTGGTGACTGATAATGTACTTTAATCAAGGAGTCGCATGACATGACGAACAAAATTACAGAATTAAGGTAAAGACAATCTTTATCTTTTTCAATTTTGTCTTCTCACTTTAAAAAATCATCTCCCCTTAATATAAAACATTAACTTTTTTTTATCATAAAATGATTTTAGAATAGTTTGTTTGAAAATCATGAAAACAGCAGAGTACTCAATGGGCTTGGGCTTATGCGGGGAAGCCCAGAAATGATGAGTGGTGGTCCCAAAGCCTGCAGCGCAATTCAAAGGGAGCGTCTTTTACGAGACTGAAGAGTGATGTGGGGGGCATCCATTTACTGTCGCATGTTGTCTGTATTAGCTAACTATGGTTTTATTGATGCTGATTTTGCTATGCTCACTCGTCTTTCTCCCATGTTTAACTCACCCCCTTAACTACTTACCAGCTACCAATGAATAACAGCCGGTAACTCAAGCACACTCTCTCCCTTCTCTTAGTGAAGCACTTTTCAACTTGGAGAATCTTTTGTTTTGAATTTTTCTTTTATGACAGGTCTAACTTTAAATTAAATAAATTATTTGTTGGATTGAATTTTGATATATCTATTTTCTAATTGATGAATATTGCACATTCTATGTATAGTATATTCAAGTAATATATATTTATAGTTATATTAAATTTATGATAGATACAATCATTATAACTCTCTATCAATATGATCTAAATTATTGTAAATTTTTATTAAAATATATATCACTTTTTTACTTTTTTTCTGTGAATACATTTGTCTTTTGAAGGTTATATCTTTTTAGATAATCGTATAATTTTTATCAATTTTTGGGAAAGAAAATATAGAAAGATTTACTCTTATGTATACGTGTATTTATTGAATTTATTAAATAAATTAAAAGAGAAATTAAGACACTCAAATACCAAGAGTATATCTACTTATGAAAATTTTATTAATTTTAGTTTTTTTTAGTTGTGTTTAATTGTAATAAATTTTTAATAAAAATAATATATTTATTATATTAAAATTATATAAATATAATAAATATTTTTTTAATAGACATTTGTTATTATTATTTTATTTAAATTTAATTCTAAAAATTTAAATCAATAATTTTTTTAATACAATGACGTTCCAGTTCATATAATTAAAGTTATATGTTTATAGAATTATTTTTTATAGATATAAATATGATGTCTTGTAATCTTTCTCGGTTGACATTGTTTATCACCCAATACTCGTGTATGTTATGAGGTTAATAATAATAATAATAATAATAATAATAATTATTATTATTATTATTATTATTATTATTTATTTTATTTTAAATTTTATAGTTAAATTAAAGTATTTTCAAGTAATAATTTTTTATTAGAAAAGTATTTATCATATTAAAAATATAAAGTGTAATAAATATTTTTTTAATAAAAAATTACTACTTTAAAATGCTTATGTTTAATTTTGAGACAAATTAACAAAATAAAAAAAATAAAAAAATAAATTACATTCATATTTTATGAGGTTTTATAAATTTATTTTTAATATATGTTTTTTACTTACATAAGATTTTCTTAAAAATTAAAGGATTATCAATTGTAATTTCATTAAAATTTAATGTAAAGATATTATTCTTATATTTTTTCCTCGAAACTTCTCAATACTTTTTTTTTTTTTTTGCTATTTTCTCAATGCATTTTTAACATTTACTTTCAAGTCAATGAAATTGACAATTTGCAAGCAGAAATTAATCTTAAAATCTGAGTTTGATATATCATATAATCTTTGAATTTGGACTCAAAGAATAGTCATATACTTTGTTGAATCGAAGTCAAAGATTAAAGATTAATTCTTAATATAAAAAATTAGGGGATTATTTTTTAATTTTAAAATGGTTTCCTATATTTTTATATATATTTTTATACCTTTTTATTATAAAAAAGTTATTTAAGTGTTAAATGTTAGTTTTTCATCAAGGAAGATTTTGAAGTCGTATTGCTTATAAAGGAGAATAAAAGGTTCTATTAGTAGAGTGAGTGTTGCTATAAATGGTGTTGACTGAAATATAATTATCTTTTATAAATAATATTTATAATTTTAAATGGAATAAAATATAGGAAGTATTGAAATGAAAAATATATTTATAATTATTTTTTATTTTTAATAAATAATTTAATTATTTTAAAAATTTTAAATTTAAGATAAGAACAAATAACTAAAAGTAATAAATTTTTATAAAAGAATATATTTATTATTTTGAGAATATAAAATACAATAAGTGTTATTTTTTAATAAAAACCTATAATTTGTATGTGCTTAAAATTAATGCTAAAGATAAAGATTAATAAAATTGATTTTTTTTATTTAAACGCGTCTAGTGTATACATAATAAATTTTTTATTTTATTAATATTAGTTCTTAGAATTGAATTTAAGTATATACAAATATAATTTAATTTTTAACTAAAATAATAATATTTAATACTCTTTTATATTCTAAGGTGATAAATAGTTTATTTCAATAAAAAATTATTACTTTTAGTTATGTTTAACTCTAAAAGTTAAAATTAATATTTTTTATAATTTTTTATTAAAATTTATATAATATTGTAATATTTTAAAAATATTGATAATATTAAATATTATAAATTTTAATAAATTTTATTTGTCAATTTTTAATTATAAATCTTGATCAGTCGTTAAAAAAATAGAAATTCCATTTATAAAAAGTTATACAATTTTTGTTACAATTTAAAAAATAATAAAATGAAAAATACTACAAAAAGAATGACAAAAAATTATTATTATTATAAAAATATTATTAAAAATATAAAAATTGTTAAAATCAATTTGCAACAACTAAATTAATATTTTTATTAAAAAATATTTACCACCTTAAAAATAAAATAATTATATTGAAATGTTGAAGTTAGGAGTTAGTCTTACAAAATCATAAAAATATTAGAGAAACCAACTGATAAAAGGAGGAAGTGCAGCAGTGAATTTGTTAACTAACGAGTGGAGAGTGAGGGAATTAGAAAAGGTTGAAAGTGGAAACAGAGAGAGAGAGAGAGAGGAGATGGAAGAGAATGAGCACGGGAGTGAGGAGAGGGAGAGAGTGTGTTTGAGCATGCAAAAGGACAATGGAACAACAGAGAGTCACAGATACTATCTCTCGCGCAGAACAACGCTTGAGATGCTAAGAGACAGAGGCTATTCCATTCCATCCTCAGAAATCGACCTTTCCCTCTCTCAATTCCGAGCCACACACGACCTTTCCCCCAACCTCGACCGCCTCCGCTTCTCCGCCACTCACGCCTCCAACCCTTCCAAAAGGGTTTTGGTCATTTTCTGTGCCTCTTCCGTTGTCAAAGTCACAAACGTTCGGTACATTACGGCCCAGATTGTAAATAAAGACACCTTGACTGGCCTCATTTTGATCGTCCACAGTCATATTACTAGCCAGGCCTCCAAAGCCCTCAATCTTCTCTCCTTCAAGGTTGAAGTTTTCCAGGTTTGTCTTCCGCCATCTTCTATATCCGTGCTTCCCAGATAGGACTTTTAAGCCATTTTTTTTTTACTAAAATGCCTTTTTCTCATTCTTATAACCATATGAATAGAAGAGGTATTTTGTATAAAAAAATCACTTAAATAGTAGCCATAGACATGTGGGAACGGCAATAGACATATCCCGTTTAGAGTATAAAACTATAATTGCATGCAGATACAACTTATAAAAATAGTCAGTATGAAATAATTGGTTATGGCTAAGGATGTAGTTGGGAATTGTTGCTTTGTGGATGGTAAAAGAAAAGAAAGAGGGAATGATTACTCACACTCTTTCAAGTTCGAGAATGTTTAAAGAGTGGTTAGGGTGTTGGAAGAACAGCTTTGAGATTTAGGGTGTTAGAAGCTGGGAAACTTCCTGACGTTTCCCTTTATTAGTTAATTAGTAGGAGAGAGCCAATCACTATACAACATAAATAGTGATACAATATTCATCATTAATATACTGGCATTCTGTCGTTTACACTGGGAACTTTTCAAGGAAGAAAACTTTGACTTGCAATTGTTGATAAAGATAATATTAAGTTTTGTGATGCTTGCAAATTTTAACCATGGCATCTTATTCAGAATGGCTTCACTTTGTATCCAACTTTGCTTCAGTGATGACTACAACTTCATTATTTACTTTATATAATCCCTACAACATGTTTTACGTGTCCCTGTATTTTTACGTTTCGTCCAGTATGAAACTTGTTAATTAATTATCAATTCCGTGACCAGTAACTCATGGAAACCTTTTACTCTGCTGTTCAGATCACAGATTTGCTTGTTAATATTACAAAGCATGTATTGAAGCCAAAGCATCAGGTGCTGACTGATCGGCAGAAGCAAAATCTCCTGAAGAAGTACAATATTGAAGAAAAGCAGGTCATGAAAGTTGAATTTCATTACTACAATTTTTCTGTTTGACCATTTACGGTTGTGGTTACTTAAAGATCATGAAAGTATAGTGTATGCATAATCATGGTAGTTAACTACTATCATCAGCACACCATTCAGGATTTAACATGATTTGTTAATCTGAAATGATATCAAGTGAAAAAGTACAAGTGTTACTCATGGAAGCTTGCTAGTTGTAATTATATATGCTGTAGATCATCTTAGTGTTGCTTTAAGTTATTTATGGTTGATTAGTGAATTAGATATTACAATAGCCATATGAAATGCTGAGATTTTTTATTTATTCTTTTGTTACCTCTATACATTGTATTGTATTCATTCGTGTATTGCATGAATATTAAATTTGCTCAATATTCCAACACAATTATTCTTATATTAAGTTTTGTTGTTCTCAGCTTCCCCGGATGCTACAGACAGACGCAATTGCACGATATTATGGTCTTGAGAGGGGACAAGTAATTAAAGTTACCTATAGTGGTGAAATCACCCAGATGCATGTCACATATCGATGCGTCTGGTGATTGTTTCTTGTCTTCTCGTATTTTGCTTGTTGAATTCGTAGTACTCTGCTGTTGGACCATGCTTAAGAGGTTTATGATGGTACAAATTGTAAGTCCCTGATTAATCCTAATGCTTTGAACTCTAAATTTGGTGGTGTTTTTTCTTTTTCTTAAACCCTCAAAGAACAAATCCGCATCGAACAATTCCATTCGCCGACTTTTTTTTTCTTTGCACTAACCGCACCGCAGAATTTGCAAAGTGGCTGCCTCTGTAAAAGAAACTTTAAGCTGCTTCAATTTTACTCATGCACACACATTAGTTATAATTTAATCACGTGGTTCATATTAAATACTTGCAGAAACAGTTTTATCCGTCCACATCAGCCTGGTTGGAAATACTTCTTAATATGTACAAGTAGCATTCTTATATGCATGCAAACCAAGCATGGTAGCTCAATATGCGATTCTGAAGCTAGCCATTGTTGACGGTTCTATGTTTACCGTATTGCCTAAACCCATATTTAGAAGCACGCACTAATAAATTCCGTAAGGTCATATTCCATTTAGAGAATATGTGCAACAAAGCTGCACAGTATGGGTAAATGACTGAACATAAAATTGAACAATAGTGAATGAAAGCCCAAATCTTGTTAATTACTTAGCTTACAAATGAGGCTTTGGTCTCTTTCATTTGCATCTTTTTATTTATATCTTTCAGAAATCACCGAAGAATAAAAATTCACACCGTTTATTAACAAATAGAACGGAAAGCTAATGAACGATGAAGATTTGTAGTAATAATGTTTTTATATTTAGCACCGTATTCTACCTTTGATATATTACATCAGTCGCATCACGTTATCAACTCAGGAACTAGCATTCTAAGCATGTCTGCAAAAAAAAAAAAAAAAAAAAAAAGCCTTTTTGCATGTAAAATCTATAGATGAATTACAGAGTTCCATTGTTTGAGCTTGAGAAAAAGTGTTTTTAATAATAATATAGTTTTATTTAGAAAAATATTTTTTCTTGCATAAACAATAGCGTTTTAATTATTCTAAAAACTCATCTATTCATTATAAATTTCTTAGACCTTTTTATTCATTGTCTTTTTTTAGAAAAGAAAAACACACGCATTCAATTCTTCGGTCAAGACCGACGAATAAGAATGCATGCCTCTTGAGGGTTCGGCTTCCAAGGGACCTGGACCTAAATCAGACGTGAGCCACTTTATGCAAGGTTCCCCATTCATAAGGCATGTATGCCCACCCAGCAAAAATATATATAAAAAAAGAAAAAAAAAGCATTTGAACAGAAAAAATTGAAATTAGCTCTTCAGTAAAAATGCTCCTTCAAACAAAATAAAAGGGGTTGAAAACTGTAGCTGTCAACGGAGGATTATTTCCCGATTGACTTCAACTTGTTTCCAGTTCCAGAAGATAACAAAAAAAAAGACGAGAGGCTTAATATGCAAACATGTTTTTAGGATTCTCAACTCTTCCGGGCCAAAGCGGCAGCAATGCCACCAACTATAAGTCCCACAGCTGTTGCAGTGATGCCAATTCCTATTACACCATCTGCATTGATACATACGACATTTGCAATTTCTTTATAGTTAATGCTACGATAACGTGATAAAAGCTCAAGTACCAAGTAAGTTATTACCTTTAGCAATTCGATCTTCAACTATTTTCTTAAGGGATAGTGCCTGCCTCCAATCGGGTGCAATCTGCAAGAACCAAGAGGTCCATATAAAATTGAGGGTAAAAAACAGACAGAATAAATCATGTTTAGGTCATGGATATGTATATATAGTATGTCCCAAAATGCCATGGTCGTCAAATTTTAATATGATTGTGATAGAGTTAAAATTTGACCCATTGTTAGTGGAAAACTCTTCTAGCTGCCAATATTCAAGAAAGTGCCACATCATTGTAATAACGAAGTTTCCCACGCATAGTATTATGTACATCAATTAATAGTGAATCAAAATTATATCTGACAATGAATCACGGACTTGTTTACAGATAACCCACTAATTTGAAAATAATAATATACCAATAACGAAAAACTAAACCTTCCAACATGGTGGAAACTTCCAAATAATTGAACAAAAGCGAAAGTTATAGATAAAATATCAGCTAAATGAAAAAGAAATTAACTATTGTTGAAGGAAAAAAAATCTCCCAGCATAGAATCAAAACAGTGAATACTGGATATAGCTCATATAAGGATAACAATGGGTCTTAATATTTCAAGGCTCCCACAAGATCCCCACTGTCGATCAATAAGATATGGGGCGAAACAAAATTACTATCTATCAATTAGCGATGGTGCTAAACAAAATTACTATGACAAGTTCCATGGCTGCATGTTGATAGAAATCCGCTATCTATAACATGAGGCATTATATGAAATGACGATCCAGCAGTGCAAAAATCAAGAAAATTAGTATCTGGCTACTATCAATAAGTGAGAAATACAGACATTCAAACATTGCTCCAAAAGCTGCCGGCTCCTAGCGTAGTCATTACTTCTATAATAACCAACAGCCAGAAGATAAAGCTTCTCCCTTTGATGCAAAGGACTTTTATCATTTCCCAAAGAAGCTGTGAATCATAATTAAGGATGTACGAGGTTAGCCATATATACAAAGGTCAGAATACTCTATATAACAAAAGCAATAGAAAGAAGGGAAGGGGCTGTGGGCCTAGTGGCAATTGCCAAAACTCAACAGCATAAGCAGCTCAGGTTATCCTTAAAAAGAAACAGGAAATTTAAGAGATCTTAAAAAGCCTGGTTGAATAAGTGCCTTGCAAATGCTAGTTAGCAAATTCACCATCTCACATTAAAATTTGCAATGCATGAGAATCAGAGAAAACCACAATGACAACTTTAGAGAGATTTTGAAGACCCAGTAGTTGTATTGCATATGTTATTTTGGCAAATTTCCAATTTTACATCAGGCTGTCAGAATAACTAGGCAACTCACAAAGAACAAATGGGTTGTTTTATGCCCTGACTGAGGCATAACGAGCTGAGAAATCAAAGTTAGCATTCATATGTTAGAGAATGAAATAATTAAGACCATACATTAACTATACATTATAGTTTTGAGATGTCATGAAATCCCGAGGATAAAGAAGATGAGGCATTCGGATGAATATTTAACGATGATTAAGCTTAATCAATGAAAAGCATTAGAGTTAAAAGATGTCTTTTAAACCACTGTACCTATAGAGAAAAAAGGCTGAACCATAATCTATATAAAAACTTCACAAAAGCATATCACAGTTCCAAACTAAAAGAAACATAAATAAAAATAAATTGATAGTAATCCAAAGCACTAGAAACTATTCTATAAGTTACCGTACTTTCAAGCATGGCTATCCCGCGCTGAACATCTTCCTTTTGCCTTGAATGAACAAGGGCCCATGACAACCTCATTATGCTCTCATTCTTCCGCTCCTCATTGTCACCATTAGAAGCCTCTGCAACTTCTCTCTCACAGCCCTTCAAAACATGCTAAATAGTCAAGACTGAAGGAATGAAATTGAAAGCAATTAGCATAAGAGACTACACCCAATTGAAGCCAATACATTACAACAAACACAAAAGCTATAACTGATCAACCAGAGAATTACCGATTGAATTTTCCCCACTTCTTCCACTCAATTTGCATTTTTTAAAATCTAATTACCAGAGGTTAAATAAACAAAAAATGAAAAAGCAGATCCAATAACCATTTAAGGAAATGTTTGGAACGAAATATCGATTTGACGCATCCCAATCAGAGATAGATGCACAACAAATCAGCGACCAATCGAATCAATTACTTTACGGAAAAGGGAAAATAAAAAATCTAAGACACAAGAGTGTCGGGATTCCATATCAGGATTCAGAAAAATCATCAATCCCAAAAATATTTGAATTTCTGAAGGAAAAACTAGGGTTCTAAAATACATCAACAAAAATTAAACACAAATTGGGGGGGGGGGGGGGGGAACAAAGAAGGAAAGCTTGGATTTGAGATTGATGGAAAAAGGGAAAAGGAAGTGGAGGTTACAGCGATGACGTCACGGTCGCACCAAGGGATCTGATCGCCACCGGAGAAGAAGTTTCCGATGGATTCGAAGAAGCTACCCATCTTGGCTTCCATCGGCAGTTACAGCATTAGATTGTGCCTCCACCTATATTATTTTTAGGTTTGGGGTTTTTGGAAATTTGCAGCCATTTTTAACAGCTATTTTTTTTTTTAAAAAAAAGGCGATAATAATAATAAATACAATTATTTTTTTATTAGTGATTATAAATGCTATTATTTTGTCTTTATACTTTAATTTATATGCAATTTTATTTTATTTTTGTATGTTTAATTCTTTTAGTTTCTTAAATATTTAAATTAAGTCTTCTATTCTAAAATTTTATTTAATAATTAACAAAATTATAATGAATATGTAACATATTGATTTGAATAAATTAATACATAAGTTTAAATATAATATGATAAAATCTATTTTTATTTAATTATTTTATATATTTTTCTTTACAATTTTTGTAAATTTATCTTTTATATGTTTGTCATATTTTTTATTAATTATTAAATAAACTTTTGGAGCAAGAGACTTAATTTAAACAATTAAAAATTAATAAAATTAACTATGAATAATTAAATATAAGGAACCAAAATCGTTAAATTATAGGAGACTAAAAAGGTAATTAAATCTAAAAAACATTTTTCTTAACAAAAGTTTACTACTCTTAATTGCTTATTTTTAACTCTAAAAACTAAAATTAACATTCTATTAACTTTTGTTCATGCATTACCAAATTGAATTTACTATTTTAATTCAAGGATAGTGTCAAAAACACCTAAAGTATTATATTTGAATTTTGTCTTACAAATAATTGTGGTTTAATTGATCTATGTGTCAATTTGAACTTCTCAAACAATGATATTGCTTCTGTTCAATGTATGATATGTTATGAATTAAGTCAAGATTTGTGTGCATTGAAAATGTCAAAGTTTGCTACACCGTTTGTTTACTTGTTTGCTTGTGAGATTTGTAAATCTTCAAATGTTGAAGATTGTCAAAATAAGAAACTGAAGAATAGACTATATGTCAGGCTACGTTTGACTATTTTGTTTTATTGTAAGTGAAGAGCCTATAAAAGGCAGTAACATGTACGAGGAAATACACATCAATTGAGTGAATATTTTTTAGCAAATGTTTCTTCCTTTCTTCCTTTATTGTATATGAGTGAGAGTTTGTGAGTTGAGAGATAAATAATCATGTCTCTGTGCCAACAAAATTGGTATCAGAGCACTGGATAGATCCAGCATTTGTTTTGTGAGTCTGTGAGAGAGTCAGTAAAAAAAATTTTTTTAAAAAAATATTGAGTGTGTGAGGAACAAAAGAGTTCTCATTTTATCAAAATTTTTTGAGTCTATTTGAGAGAGAAATATGGCCACAAACTACAATATTATTTGGTCTGGTCCCAAATTAGATGGGAAAATAGATTACAATTATTGGGCATTATTGATGTCCACTCATTTAAAAGCTCACAATATTTGGAGCTTTATTGAACAAGGCATACAACAAGGAGCTGATGATGCAACTCAAAGGAAGGACCGGTTGGCGCTTTCACAAATTCACTAAGGTGTAGATTATTCAATTTTTGGCAAAATAGCAAATGCCAAAACAGCCAAAGAAGCGTGGGACATCTTGAAGCTATCATACAAAGGAGTAGAGAGAGCTCAGAAATCCAAACTACAATCCATGCGTCGAGAATATGAAAGATATGAGATGTCCAGTTCAGAAACCGTGGAACAATATTTTTCACGGGTAACAAATCTTGTCAATAAGATGAGGGTGTATGGAGAAGACATCCCTAAAAGCAAGGTGGTGGAGAAAATTCTACGCACCATGCTGATGAAGTTTGATCATGTGGTGACTACAATAATTGAGTCCCATGACACAGACATCATGACGGTTGCAGAATTGCAAGGTAGCATTGAAAGCCATGTAAGTAGAATATTGGAGAAAACTGAAAAATCAAATGAAGAAGCTTTGAAAAGCCAGGTGAATTTTACCAACATAGCAGAATCCAGCCGAAGTGAAGACGGTAGAAGTCGTGAAGGTGGAAATATAAATTTCAGAGGTAGAGGTCGTAGCAGCTTCAGAGGAAGAGGTCGTTGTAATTTCAATCAATAATGGAAAGACAACAATTTCAGGCCACCTAATCAAGGAAGAGGTGGACACAATATCAGATCTACCAACCGTGGAAGAGGAAGAGGTAGCTTCACCTACCAGGAGAGGACAAATTTCAATTGCTACCACTGTGGAAAGTTCGGGCATAGAGCTGCAGATTGTAGATTCAAACAACAAGCAAATATAGCAGAAAATCAATATGAGCATACGGGTGAGAGTTTTGATAATCCACAAACCTTACTTCTAGCAGCAAATAGATTTTCAGGCGATGGAAATATTTGGTACCTAGATACTGGCTGCAGCAACCACATGTGTGGGAAAAATGAGTTATTTTTCTCACTAGATGAAACGGTAAAATCTACCGTGAAATTCGGAAATAACTCTAATATTTCGATTTTGGGAAAAGGCCGAGTTGCAATCAGATTGAAGGACGGTTCTCAAAACTTCATCTCTAATGTTTTCTATGCTCCTGGTCTTCATCACAACCTGTTGAGCATAGGACAATTATCAGAAAAAGGCTACAACATACAGATACATGATGGCTACTGTATGTTGGTTGACAAAAATAGGAGATTCATTGCCAAGGTAAAAATGACTCCTAATCGCCTATTCCCTTTGAAAGTTCAACAAGATAAAATTCCTTGCTTGAGTTCTATCATACAAAATGATGATTGGCTGTGGCACATACGCTTTGGACATTATCACTTTTCTGGATTAAATTTTTTATCTAGAAAAGAGTATGTATTCGGTTTGCCTGTTATAAACATTCCTGAAGGTATATGTGAAACTTGTAAAATTGGAAAGAAACACAGAGAATATTTTCCAACTGAAAAGTCCTGGAGAGCAAGAAAGCCATTGGAGATTGTGCATTCAGATTTATGCATGGTTGAGATACCAACACATGGTGGTAGTAAATATTTCATCACTTTTATTGATGACTTTAGCAGAAAAGCTTGGGTGTATTTTTTGAAACATAAATCAGAAGCTTGTGATACTTTAAGTCATTCAAGGCATTTGTAGAGAAACAAAATGGCTGCAAGATTAAAGCACTGAGGACAGATAGAGGCCAAGAATATCTTGTCTGTGCAGATTTCCTTGATCAACATGGAATTCAGCAACAACTGACAACAAGATACACTCCTCAGCAGAATGGATTAGCAGAAAGGAAGAACAAGACGATCATGGACATGGTGAGATGCATGCTGAAGACAAAACAAATGCCTAAAGAATTCTGGGCAGAAGCAATTTCTACTGCTGTGTATATTTTGAACAGGTGTCCAACAAAGAGTGTTTGTGATAAAACACCAGAAGAAGCTTGGAGTGGAAGGAAGCCCTCAATCCGGCATCTCAAAGTTTTTGGGTGTATAGCATATTCCCATGTACCAGATCAACTCAGAAAGAAGCTTGATGACAAAGGAGAGAAGTGCATTTTCATTGGTTATAGCACCAACTCAAAGGCGTACAAGCTTTATAATCCAGTGACAAAGAAGGTAATTATCAGCAGAGATGTGACCTTTGATGAAGAAGGAATGTGGGATTGGTCTTCCAAGCCCCAAAAGGAGCCTGCAATAATTCCAGAAAATTATAGACGTGCAGATCCAACACCTGATAAGCCAGAAACATCGAGCAAACTACAAAGGCAAAGGAGACTACCAGCCAGATTGGAAGATTATGTTGTGGGTAATGATAATGACTCATCTGATGAAGAAATTATCAATTTTGCCTTATTTGCAGATTGTGAGCCTGTAACTTTTGAAGAAGCTTCAAATAATCAACATTGGAGAAAAGCAATGGATGAAGAAATTCATGCCATTGAGAAGAATCAAACATGGGAACTAACAGACTTACCAGCAGACAAAAGACCAATTGGAGTGAAGTGGGTGTACAAAACTAAGTACAAGCTCAGTGGAGAAATTGAGCGTTTCAAAGCAAGGTTGGTAGCAAAAGGGTACAAACAAAAGCCAGGTATTGATTATTTTGAGGTATTTGCTCCTGTAGCGAGATTAGATACAATTCGTATACTTATCTCTCTATCAGCTCAAAATAATTGGAAAATTCATCAAATGGATGTTAAATCTACTTTTCTGAATGACACTTTGGAAGAAGAAGTATACGTTGAGCAACCTGTAGGATATGAAGTTGAAGGAAAAGAAGATAAAGTCTACAGATTGAAGAAGGCATTGTATGGCTTGAAGCAGGCACCCAGGGCATGGTATAAGAAGATTGATTCTTACTTTGTTGAGAATGGATTTCAGAGATGTCCATTTGAGCACACATTATATGTTAAATTCACTGAGGCTGGAGACGTTCTAATCCTGTATCTTTATGTTGATGATTTAATTATCACTGGAAACAGTTTGAAGTTGACTGCAGAATTCAGGGAGGCTATGACACGCCATTTTGAAATGACGGATTTGGGATTAATGTCCTATTTTTTGGGCATTGAGGTTGATCAGCGAGATGATGAAATTTTTATTTCTCAAAAGAAATTTGCTGGTGATATTTTGAAGAAGTTCAAGATGATGAATTCAAAACCAGTTTTTACGCCAGTTGAAGGAAAGTTGAAGCTGACGAGTGACATTGGAGGCAAGAAAGTCAATCCAACTCTCTATAAAGTTTGATTGGAAGCCTTAGATATTTAACTGCAACCAGGCCAGATATTGTCTATGGAGTTGGACTACTCAGCAGATTCATGGAGAAGCCTCGAGATTCTCATTGGCAGGCAGCTAAAAGAATTCTCAAATACATCAAAGGTACTCTGACAGAAGGAATTCTCTATGATAAAGACATTGATGTGAATCTCGTTGGATATACAGATAGTGATTGGGCAAGAGATATAGAGACGAGAAAGAGCACGTCAGGGTATGCATTCCATCTTGGAAGTGGTGCAATATCATGGTCATCAAAGAAGCAACTGGTGGTGGCGCTCTCAAAGGCCGAAGCAGAATATATAGCAGCAGCAAGTTGCGCAACCCAAGCAGTGTGGCTGAGAAGAATACTTGAAGTGATGCATCAAAAGCAGGATACTCCCACAAAAATATTTTGTGATAATAAGTCTGCAATTGCATTATGCAAAAATCCTGTTTTTCATGGATGGTCCAAGCACATTGATATTCGATTTCATAAGATTCGGGAACTAGTAGCAGAAAATGAAGTGGAGATTGATTATTGCCACACGGAGGAACAAGTTGCAGATGTTTTTACGAAGCCGTTAAAAGTTGAGTTATTTTACAAATTGAAGAAGATGCTTGGTATGATACAAACTTGACTTAAGGGAGGCAATGTTATGAATTAAGTCAAGATTTGTGTGCATTGAAAATGTCAAAGTTTGTTGCACCGTTTGTTTACTTGTTTGCTTGTGAGATTTGTAAATCTTCAAATGTTGAAGATTGTCAAAATAAGAAACTGAAGAATAGACTATATGTCAGGCTACGTTTGAATAATTGATATTTACTATTTTGTTTTATTGTAAGTGAAGAGCCTATAAAAGGCAGTAGCATGTACGAGAAAATACACATCAATTGAGTGAATATTTTTTAGCAAATGTTTCTTCCTTTATTGTATATGAGTGAGAGTTTGTGAGTCGAGAGATAAATAATCATGTCTCTGTGCCAACATGATAAGTATCTGGCATGGTTCAGAATAGTGATAAATTTTATAAAATTTAATTAAATAAAAATAACAATGATAAATTCTCCCTCAACTAAGACCAACATTTATATATTTTTTAGGGGTTGGTGAGTCATGGGCTCATGGCTGTGTTACAAAAGTCGATCCCCCTTTGCTTTCTAATTGCTGACGGACTGCAGGATGCTGGCCAGAGTGATACAATATTTCAAAGTTGGGATATAAATCATTCAATTAAAACCGAAAGCAAAAAAAGCATAGGATCTCAACTCTTCTATTCAAGATACATTGGGACAGTTGTCCCCATGGACTTCATATTTATTACTTCCTTAATAGATACCACAATTCACTTAATATCAATGAAGCTAAATTATTTAATCAATGGATCATAAAAGATGTTACTTGTCCCACTTCCCACGAAGTAGAGGTAAGGTAACCATTTGCATACTTTTAAGCATCCCCTACTCTTCCAATTCTCAGATAAATTGGAAACTTGGCAACCTTTTGGCCATCTTCACCCCAAGCAAGCTTAAATTTTTGAACTACATCCTCCCCAAGAAGCTCTACTCCTTTCTCCTTTGCTGTCTGATATGCTGACCATGATTGTACGTACGTCAAGAAATCATCTAAATCCATCATAACCTCAGTCACAAACTCGAAAGGTCCTGTGTGATCAACGCCATCCACAGCCTCAAATGGAAAATCAATGCTTCTATAATTGTTATCAACCAATTTACGTGCTGCCTCCCAATAAGGGCCTACATCAGATAAATAAAATTGATCGAGGACAGTGTCTACTGCATCACTAACCCTTGGCAAATTGTAACACCAAGCAGCAATAACTCCATGAGGTTTCTTCAGAACCCACTTGACTTGTTCATAGAAGGTTGCAAGATCAAACCAATGCAAGGCTTGGGCAATGGTTACAAGGTCTATGGTTCCTTGAGGTGCCACCACTTGTTCAAGCTCAGCCATGGACATGGTTGAAGGGGTATGTTGGTATCTCACATTAGGAAACTTGGCTGCAAATTCAAGCTGTGTCTCGCTAGTATCCGTGGCGATCACATTCTTGTATATCATGGATAACTGAAATTACAAGATAAAAATTACTAATACACAAAAGAATAGAATTGAGGGATGATATAATAAAATAGAAAGAAAAATATAAAAAAGAGTATAAGTAAATGTAAAAAAATAAAGAAAGAGGACGAACAGATTTGGCAGCTTGGCCGCTTCCAGTGCCAACGTCCCAAGCGAGTTGGTGAGAGGGTGACTTTGAAGAAATGAATTGGAAGAGTTTTTGAGGATAACTTGGCCTTGCAACTGCATATTCTTTTGCCTGGTTCAAAAATAGCTTTGCCATCTCTCTTTTCTCTTAGCTCTCCAAAATTTTCTACCACTTAACCTGTATATACGTTAGTTCCACAACTTCCATAACAATATATACTACATGCCAAGACCTGCCACTAGCAACGCAAACATAAGCGAAAACATATTTCGACACAATAATAACGTACAAGCCTATTTCGATTTCGATTCCCCTGTACGAAGTTGAGGAGAAATTTCAATGAGGGTAAACAGTTTCTTTTAAAATTATATAATTATAGACGTGGAAGCTTGATCCACACATCAAGATAAAACATTTATTAAATGAACGGTGAGGATGAATAACACTTTACTTGCATTATTACAAGAATAAGTTCTCTCTGACTTTTCTTTTTTTAAGACTGAATATATTTTTTTTATAAGAGAAAATTTTGGAACTCAAATTTAAAATTATAAATTAAAGTACAAGTCAGTTGATCTACATAGTTAAAATATTTCATTACTTAAAATAAAATAATTGCACTTTGCAACAATTCTCGACCCAAGGCTATTTAAAATTAGCCAGCGACATATTTATTAAATATTAAAAAAAATTATTTTTATTTAATATTTTTATATTTTAATAAATTTTAATCAATAATTTAAAATATGTTAAAGAGAATACATTCTTAATATTTCTCTTTAACATTTTTAAAGGATTAAAAGGTAACATTATAAATATTTCCTTCACTCACTTCAACAGATTAAAAATGTTTCTGTACAAAAAATGGAGTTACACGGGTGAAGTTTGACAGAAGGATTTTTTATTTATTTTTTAAAAATTAGGGTCTGTGATAGATCTGGTTGATTGAAGAGTTTATGTCAAAATTCTCCATAAATTGTTCACATTTTGGCCCCACTAATGGAGTGTTTAAGCTGGCATCCTGCGTTCATCCGTCACATGCAGTAAACTGTTACGAATAAAGAATGAAGCAGCAGCAAACAAACTATCCATAAGTTTCTCTTTATTTTTAAGTTGATTAACTTAAGTTTTTAAAATTAAATTTAAATATTTATAAGCAATAATTCGTTATTAAAAAAATATATATTTCTTTAAAGTAAATTGGAAAGCTTAATTTTATTTTTAGGGGAAGTGGGTGAGGATTCAAACGATGCGATCCGTAAAACTACAAATGAATTTACAGGTTAGAGCAGACGTCGTCCAGTGCCAATTATTATCCTTACACGCGTCTTTGACCTTCAAAGCTACGTCTTCTATGTTAACATAGCTCACTTCATTGCATACGCATGAGTGGCTCGTGTTGCCTCGTTCGTAGTAATCTGGAGATAAAATTGTACACACAGAATAAATTAGTTATATACTAAAAGTCGTCGTCAGCCAATTTTTGAAATATTTTCAAATTATTATAATTTTATTAAAAAAAACCTATATTTTTGTAATTTTAAAATAAAAAATAGTCTGGTTGTAGTTTTTTCATATGAAAAAAAATTAAAATACTAAAATATAATCTTTTTAAAAAATCATAGAAGTATAATATTTTTATTTTTAGAAAATTGTTATTACTGAGTTTTAACTTTTTAGTTTTTTTTTTGGGAATTGTCATTTGCTTCTTCTTTTTTTTTGGCTATTCGAAGAAATTAAGCCTAAGAAAAAAAACAAAGTCAAGATAAAACTAAATGCCTATAGAATCAAAATAAAAAAAATAAAATAAGGAGGAAAGGGTAATATCAACACAATTAGATGACAATGAAACTTCTAAGCTTAATTTTAATAAATAGTCAACATATTACTTAACTTTTTTACAAACATGACCATATCTAACAAATTAGATAAATTTAATTACATTCATAATTCTAATAATTAGGTCAAATAATTGATGAGCGGGATTTTGAGCATTAAAAATTAGACACAAATTTTTTCTAAAATCATTCTCAATTCAAATGATATTTCATCCCTTTTGAACAATAAATTCTCACCCAAACATAATGCTTCAAATCTTAGTAGTCATGGGAGAATAGGGAACTAAACTTTTGCAAAAATCAATTAGGATTTAGGACCTTATGCATCTCGTATTAAGCCACTGCATGCAGTAATTCTATCCATCAAGAAAATAACATCATCCTCATTAAGCTTTTATTGATTTGTAGGGGAAGAATTCATTTAATCTAAGCCTTTTATAAATAAGCATCAAAGGCTAGACAGAAGAATTGTTAAAATAGAAATTATTTTTCCTTCCATATGTTACACAATAACCCTAAATAGACTATCAAAGTTATTAGAATTTTGATTAGAAAGGTTAACATTAACCAATATGATATTTTTCTATTAAAGAAAGGAGTCCATTGATGAGAAAAAAATAAAGAAATCTCAAACTTTCTTAGTATAAAAATAATATTTAATTACATGAATAACTATTCTTCATCCTTACCACATTTAGTATAAAGAAAACAAGTTATCATATCTGCTTATACTTTTCTTTATTAGTGAGTAATTTATTATGAGTAATTTTCTAGAGAAAAAGTCTAATTTTAGGAAAACTCTCTCATTTCCAAACTAAGTTAAATAGTTTATGGCAACTAGTAGAGGATTGATTTCAATAAGACAATAAAGCATAAACATTTTTAAGAGAGAATATACCATTATTTATTATATTTTAAAAACTATCTTAAGCGCCTCAAAATTTGATGGGGGTTTAATTTTAACCACCATCCTACGAGGAGGATAACAACAAGCATTTCTAAATTTCAAATCCCATTAGCAAAAAATAAAGTAACATGTATATTCAAATCCAAATCAGCTATAGAGTTAATAGATTATTTAAACAAGTAGCCAACATTTGGACACCAATTATCATACCAAAATTTATTACTCATACCATCATTAATTGCTCAACTAAGGCCCTAAGAAAATACGGGCTAAATAGAGGACAAACTATTCTATAAGTGAGAGACCTTTAAACCTTTCTTAATTTCATGATTTTGTCCGAGAGTAAAATTATATATTTTTTATAAAGGACTTAAGCTTGTAGGAAAAAAAGAGAGATAAATAACTTTCACCAAAGTTTCATCAAGTAAGCTTTATTCAACAAATGTAGGTCTTTAAACCCAAGTCCTCTTTCAAATCTAGGTTTACACATTATAGGTCAGCCTATAAGATGACACTTCTTGCTCCTTAGAGAACCCCAATATAAATTGCTTACATAAATTGTTAATTATATGACATAAATGAAAAAAAAAATAACTGAGATTGTATTACAAAGCAAGGATACTCTTGAGACAAGACTGGGCAAGAGTCACTCTACCAATCAAAGATAGGGAATTCATTTTCTAAAGAAAAAGTTTTTTTCTTGATTTTGTCTATAAGTTAGGAATGCCTTTAGGGGGTCTAAGATGGTGACTAGGAATGCTAAGGTATCTATCTAACTTACTAGTCATAGGAATACCTAAACAACTACTAATAGATTGAGATTGAATGACTTGTATTAGCAAAGAAGAACAAGGATGATTTATTGATATTAATTTTAAGGCAAGAGGAAAGATAATTTTATTTAGTGCATTTTTAATAATATTAGCTTGCAGAGTAGTAGTTTTTGTAACACCTTAATTTTAAATTTATGAATAAATATGTTTTTACAAAGTTCATAGTAATAAAAAATTTTCATTCAGATAATTGTTCAAGCACAATTTCATAAAATGTTTTGAATAAGAAATTAGAGTACAATTTGCATCATAACTTGCTACAGAACTAAAATATACATCATATTTTCATAATAAATTTCTAAGTCCTATAGCAGTTTTATCCTTCCTTCCTTCAGGGGCCTCGATGCTGATTATTTTGGTTACTTGAAAAATAAACGTAAGGGTGAATCCTTTACACTAGTAGAAACATACAAACAAGCATTAGACTCACCTGACTCATTATGCATAAATTCTAATCATATTAGGAGCATACGTCAACGACCATTATACACCTAAATTCTCAATCACAATAGGTGAGTTCACTGCACCAATTACAAATCCACACATTTACACAAACACACGTGCGCTCACTGCACGTAACCACGCTCACTGTGACACTATGATCACATATTTATGATGCCCTCGACCTCAGAGACTTACTCAGTTATATTATGGATGGTTTCCCGAATAGCTCCCGCTCCACGGATACAACATGTGCGGTATTGAGCCCCCCAGGCAAAGGTGTTAGTTAGAGGCCGAGTCAGGAGGAAAATGTGTGACCTGTGATGCACCCACGCTCACTGTTGGTGTCACCACCACTCTCTCTTTCCTAAGGTATTTCTACCGCCCCCATCTTCCACACTCCCAGTGTATCTCTGAACCATTCATAGTTCCAACACCCAAACACATCATCATTCATTCAACATGTCATCCACACTCATTTCCAACCATTCACATTATTCAATTAGCAATCAAGGGCATGCTAACACAATTTCATCCACATTATAACCAACAATTTCATCACAATCATCACACATCATGCTCAACGTATTCACAATCACATTTCTATCATACACACATCATTTCCTTGCATCCAATGACAACCCAACATAAATCACATCACTCAATTTCAACCCAATTCATCAATACACATATTTCCGCCTCCCATTTCTATCTCATTGCCATAAACAACCAAATAGACCTATTTCTAACAAAGATAACTAGAGTAAAGTCCTTCCCTTACCTCAAAACAAAGATCCAATCCAAAGTAATGGTAGAAACGGCCCCCCACACGGTTTTTGACCCTAAATCACACATAAATTTCATGGGAACTCAGAGAGAACCTCAGAAATAAGAGAGAGGGACCAAAAACCAAAACCCTAGCCATGGAAACTTACCTCTAAGAGCTCCAAACGTGTCCCTCACCTTCAATCTAGCTTCCAAACGTACTTGAAGGGGTTCTAATCGGTAGGAATAGGTTTGGGTAGAGAGAATCGTGAAGGAGAGAGAGGAAAATCGTGAAAAATAACCCTCTCCTTGAACCCTAACCCTTTAAATGCCCCACTGGTCGTGACACTCTCGCTACAGCGACTCCTCTCGCTGCAGCGACGCTCTCTGTCGCTACAGCGAAAAACTCAGACAAATCTGCACTCTGATTTCTGCAGAATCTCACTACAGTGAGATTGCACCCATAAATGCACCTTAAACTGTCGCTCTGTCACTACAGTGAGACATCTCTCGCTACAACGAGATAGCGATAGTCGTATGCCTTCCTCCCAGGGACCTCTCGC